AGTTTCTTGTCACTAATTCCATCTGGTCGACCAGCCATCTGATTTTCTGAGAAGGAGGTGGGTGTTGATAACAGTGTCCAGTAACTTGGTGGAAATGATTTTTTTCTCGATGAGTTGGCTATGCTTCGAAACCCAGTATTGAAGCACTGCCGTTCTCCATAATAGTGTTGAAATCCGAATTTAGTTCTGTACTCTGTGTAAAGCAGATTTCCAAATCGATTTCAGAGTGTTAAAGGTGAGTCTTGCCTTTCTAATTCTGACTGGTTTTAACATCTTCATTGGTGTTTACTGTTCACAGCTGAAGTGATGTTGCCTAGATAAGTGAAATTTCTCCTGTTGATATTGATTGGTGCTTGTTATGGGTTGATTGGTTATTTTCATCACCTCGGGCATCTCTGTTATCATCTAGAGTCCTATTTTTGCTGCCTGTCTCTCCTACCAACGTAAATGGTTTTCGCCTGTCCACCTTCAAGTCGGTTTGACATTAGACATAAATCATCCGCGAAATCTCAGACTTCTGAATTCTCCTCACTTCCCATGCACGGTGTGCTCCAGTCTACCTTAATTAGAAATATCATTAGTTAAATTAGGTAACCTTGTCTTACTCCTATATTCACTTCAGACGCTTCACTGAGTTCGCCATTGTGGATCACTTGATTTGTAGCATAGCCATCATATAACAATAATAATCTACTTTATTCCAAAAAGCACTTATATTGTAACAACAGAAGACAAGGGCGAAGCAACAGATCGTTTATTATGAAAATCAACACGTATTTATATATATTTCACATACATTATTATAGCTTATGCAAGTAGAAAAGCGCAGTCATCTGATTGGTTGCAGACAAACGCAGGCTTCTGATTGGTTTTTTCGGGATTCCTTGACAAATAGAGTTTTCTATCTGCGAATCATATTTTGCCACGTTAACTTTGCTGTGATTGGTTGTTGAATCAGCCTTGTTCATATTTTCTCACGGCCCATATTAGTGACCTAGACATTAACGTAGATTAGTGTCAACCAATCGGCTAGAAGCCTGCTCTAACCACAATATTACATAATAGAATTTTCAGCATTCGCCACAATATCGCCTCTGATTTACGCAAAATATAAACAAAATTAAAAATATAAATAAAATTAACCAGAGGAATCTGTTCACATTTAACGATATAAATTCAAAGTATTTGAAGCACGAATTAAAAATATTAAATGTAGTAATAATAATAATAACAACAACAACAGTGGGTTTGTTTCAAACAGTATTGTCGATTGAGTTTGTAAATTTTAGCATGTTATAGATTATTGGATCTAATGTTCTGTTGATACAGTATAGTGAGGGGAAATACAAAATTAACAGTTATAACACAGCTTAAATGATGTTAGTTCATGTCCAACGCTATTGTTTTACCTGATGAAACACAGGGTGAAACCTAGGAGGGCCTCAGTGGATGCTCACAGTCTGACAAAATCCCTTTAACCAATTTTTTGCATGACAGCAAGCGCCTGTCAATGTCATTGTCAACAATATGGACCAGTTGGATACCATTCGTTATACTGACAGTCTTCAGAGTTCTACGAAGTATGATACAGTCTTTTTTAAGTACTCCAGGAAAGAATAAGGGTGAACATTAAAGAAGAATAGGTGAGATGCACGAATTGACAAACTGTAAGAAGAGGGGTTGGGTTATGCCTGAGTGCCTTAACTTCTTAAGGTAAAAAGTCAGATGAAATATTGTTTTAGAAATCGCTAAGACATGGGGAGACCAGTATATGTCAGAAAAAAGAATTAATCCAGGATACTTAACTACAGACTTGGTTTCTATATCAGTATCATTAGTTTTGCAAGGGTCATAGGAACCAGCGGCTTCATTTAAATTTCGTTTACATAGGAGACTTAAATTAACAGTCTGACATTTAGAAGGTTTAGCTTAAGCCTTTTAGAAGAAGACCGTTGGCTAAGTCCTGATAGAAAGCTATTCATCTTAGTACAGTGAATCTGGGAGTTAAAAAACACTGAAATAGTTAGAGCGTTCGCATACTTAACAAAGTTCATTTTATCAGAATTAGGTAAGTCATACAAGGAGAAAGATAACAGAAAAGTAGAAAGGACAGTGCCTTGAGGGACACTAGGCTCAGTAAGGAACTAAGTGAACGACTTTCCCTGACATACAATGTACTGCTTTCTTCCTGAGAAATAATAATGCAGCCATTTGACAACCTAAAATTCATTTTGAGTTTCAGCAAGCTTGTTTAGCAAAGTGTCCCTAGGTACTGAGTCGAAAGCAGATGTGTAATCTAGGAAGGTGCAGCGAAAAAATTTAGCCCCCTTTTCTAAGCTGGAGACAATGTTATGGTACAAGACTGCAACTGAATCTAAAGTACTTCTACAGTGATTTTAAACGCGAATTGTTTGGGATCGGTAAAAGCTTTAAATGAATGTTGAAGATTAAGTAAAAGTTATTTTTTCCGTAGCGTTTAGAAAAGGAGACGTAATAGCAATAAGTCTAAATTTAAAACATGTTCCAGTAGACGACTTAGGTATAGGGGTACAATTTTAATGTTCTTCCAAACGGCTGGTACAACATATCTGGAAAAAGATTCGTTAAATACGTCCATGAGAGGATAACACAGGACATCTGCCCACTTTTTAAGAATAACACTAGGCAAACCGTTTGGGCTCAGGCTACAAGAAGGGTTCAGAGACTAGAGACGTTTTAAAACGTCATTTGTACCGAAGTGACATTAATAAAGATTTAGAGCACTCCGTAGTGTTACCGTAGTAGTTACCAAATAACTTTACGGTAAAATCTGACAAACCGGATGAAAATGAGGCATAGATTTGCCTTCCGTTCTATCATCTGTTTGAACATCACATAATTTGCTTTGTCTGAATTCAACTTGTTCTGTGGCATGGAGTTCTACATCCGGTACATCTCTCAGTCTTTTCAGGATGATGCCACTTAATATTTTGTTTAGCGTAGACGACAGTATAATTCCATGCGAATTCTTGCAAAAGTCTAAGTTGCCCTTCTTTTTAGTTTTACAAGGTAGCCTTTTTTCCAATCAATGAGCACCTTGCACGTTCATTTACTTGATTGTTACGTCATTCTGTGTAAGTATGTGTGGCTGTGTTTGTTAGTGTCTCCTCATCCAATTCCCGCATGTAAGTTCCAATTACATTATACTGAATGCATGCGTGCGTATGTATATGTGTGTGTTTCGTACGACAGAATGAAAATGTAGCGAAAAATTTGAATTTTTATTCTATTGATTTTCGAATTTACCATTGTACTTTTAACAATGCACACGTGAACATATGCTGACACACAGACACACACACGTAAGGAATATCTATACATACAATTAGTAATCTCCATTTTGTAATAATGAAAATTTGCTTCTATTTTTAGTAAGACATATAGTCATGTTGATATCTTTCTACATTGTAAAATGTTTCACTGTTTATAGGGTACCTGTAACTTGTTCAGTCTGATAATTTTACATTGATTAGAGGGAAGTGAACTTTTAACAAATATTTTTAGGCGGTGAAACATGATAACCACCTGGACGATATTCAAGAGACAATGTGTATGATTATGAAAAACGCCACTATTCAAAGTAATTGTTATACTTCACTAAGTGATTATTTCAACAATACCAGACTGTGTTTTGAAACCAGGACCTTCCAGTTGTTAGGCAAACTCGCCTACAATTCAGCCACTGGGTCCAAGCATTCGGGAGTGAGGATGGATTTCCCACCGATGACATTGGTTCGTGGTCACGCTAATATCACAAATTGGTAGGAGTTAGAATTTTTGGGTCATTATATCGAGTTCCACATGTGTGAATGGTATACGAACTTGCCTTGTGACCGGGAGGTTTCGGGTTTGAACCATAGTGGTGGGTACGTTCTGATGAAGAGTCTCAAGAGACTGGGATGAAACACCTGTCCATAACGCACTTGTGTTTTTCACCAGTCCTCTAACTAATATCATTCCGTGATCTAAACCGAAACAAATAGAATCCCTACAAACTATTTCTTGAAAAATAATGATTTTAATGTTGTTACTTTTGAGTAGCCGAAGGACAATACTATAAGTTTGATTGTATGAAGTATTTGGAGACATTACGCGGATAAATGATACTTCGAAAGCCACCAAATGATTTGATTTACTATTTAATTAAACTGAAAGGATTACGCTAGATGCTATCTCTATGAAACAAAGATTTCTGAGAGAAAAATTCTCTTCGTAAAGATCCCATTTCCACAGCTATACAACCGCATTTATATTTAAATTATAAATGACAATAGGGAGCAATTTTCAAGAGTTAGTGTTTGTAGGGATTTGAGTTATGTGGTTATGCGTTGATATCAGTTAGAGATCTATTGAAAACCAGAACTAGAGTACTGGACACCTGTCTTGTTCTAGTTTTGGACTCATCAGCAGAACTCATATCAGTCCATGGTCAACCTTGATAAAAATTGAGTCCCTACAAACTAGGTCGCTAAAAGGAGGTCTAGTAAGAAGTCATTGCCAGTGTGATCCACCCGGCCGGGACTGAGGACAAATACTCGCTGATGACATTTTCCGGTGCAAGTCGCACTAAAATTACGAATTGGTGGCGGCTGGATTTTTTATGCTGGCCAGTCATTTGAGTCCCAAAAGCTGAGTCGCCTACGAGCTTGACTTGTAATCTTGTGGTCCGTTGTTCAAACCGCAGTTGGTGGTTGCTTCCAAGGAATTCCACACTAGGAAGAAACAGCTATTTAGCGCTCCATGGTGGTGTTCAATGGTCCTCCAAATGATATCAGTTCATCGGTGAACTTCAAATGGGAAGTAGTATTTGTTATTCGTGGCCGTGTGTAAGTGTGTGTGTGTCTAAGTTTTGCAGTAAGTGGAAATCCAATGGCATTAGTTTCCTCTTTCTCTCTCATTATTTCACTTTTTTTCAACTTTTTATTGATTTTTATTCCTTTTGATTTTTTCTTAATTTCTAGTCAATGAAAAAAGATCAAGATATACTGTACCATGAGAAAGAAGATTTGATCATTACAAATAAACAATTTGAACAAACTCTTTTAATGAAAATTGAAAATGAAAAGAAGTTATTAGCAGATAATCAATTCTTAGATCAACTTGTTCAAGTAAGCTCAAAAATACTACAGTATTTTCCCTTTTTTTCAGGGATTTGATCGACTTATTGATTGACTAATCGATCGATTGATTTCAAAGCGGATCACTGTAACCGATATCATTTGTAGAATAATTGAAAACCAGGGAGAACTGCACGAGTCCTTCAGATCTGAAATCTTAACACTTCAATACTTCCCTCGTTGTGGCGTTTGATCTCCATTGGAAGGGAGGAGGTCAGTGGGTTCACGGCTGTGCAAATTTACAAACTAGAATGGCACAGTGGTGTGAGACACCCTGGTTTAAAATGATTCACAACCTGACGTAGTTTGCTTGATATCACAAATAGAAAACAAGTATTAACATACAATGCTATATACTACTTATAGATTGAGACGAGTAGTTGGAAGCCATTTACATCAACTACTAATAACTACTAGCCAGATTTAAGCTATTTATCTGAACACCACACGGCCGTTTCACTTAACTGTGGCCAGTTTGACTTAATTCTGATTGCCGGATCCCCTAAATCTACCCGAGTACTTCATCTATACAACATCATAAATGATATCAAGAAGGTAGGCGAGAAATAGGAACTCGATGTGTTACAGTAAACAATACCTGTGTGCTTGTCTGTGTGTGTGCGTAAAGCTCGCAACCACTTACACACTGGTCAGCCGGTTGAGCATACCTATGTATACCTACCCCCTTTATTAAGATTATTGTTTAGTCCCTTGAGTTCATAACGGAACACAGGCCATCAAGAGAACATCTTCGTTCCGCTCTGTTCTCTTCAGTACACCTTAGTTGGCCCCAACATTGTTCATAGGCTTTTAACACCTCCTCACACGATCTCCTCCATGTCCCCTTAGGACACAGGCACAACTTGCCATTTAAAATCCGGATTCCACACGAGCAATGTCACACAACAGTTTCATAAGAAATTTGGTCAATCCATCTCCATTATATTCAGAATATTCCCTTGTCGAGGAATAGATTGTGGGTTGGTTAGTTCCCAGAATTTCTTGTTGCTGCTTCTCTCTGACTTATCGTCTCATTTTCATTCAGCATGCAGCCGGCGAAGTAGGCATTTATTGATAAAAGTCTACAACACCCTGTTGGAAATGCTCTTGATGACTCACTGGTCAAGTTTCTGACCCACACAGTAGAACTGACTGACTTGCCATGAGTGTGGGATATCCTTGATTATCCTGAGTGCTTCAGATTCAAAAATTGATATTACAGTGATGAAGGTCTGTCTCGACTTTCCTATTTAAGCTGGTTTTCACTTCCTTATACATGGAGGTGGTTGTAGTTGAAGGAATGTTAAGTTGAGAAGTTAGGGAAGTGACCTCTTTTCGGTTTATTCCTATGATAATGATTGGTGTCTGTTGTTGTTGGTTGCTTCTATTATTGATTATTATTATATTCTTTGATTTCTAGAGGAACACAGGGCTTCAGCTGCGCGTCTCTATTGCCTTCGGTTTTCTGCCGACTTTTTTCACCCCGCTCCAAGTCTGCCCACATGCTTTCACCTCCTCTTCACATGACTTCCTCCAAGTCACCCTCAAAACGAAGACCAACTCGCCGCTTTCCTTCCGGGTTACACTAGAGCAATGGCTTGTCTAGTGATGTCACTTGATGGTTTCCTCAGTGTATGGCCAATCCATCTCCATTTCTACCTGCCTATTTGTTTCACAATCGCTTCCTGGTTGCTTCGCTCCCAGAGATCCCAGTTGCTGATCTTTTCTGGCCATCCGATATTGAGCATTGAGCGAAGACAACTGTTAATGAAGGTCTGTAGTTTGTGTTGAGATGCTCTTTATGACGCGCTGGCCAAGTCTCTGATCCGTCTAGCAAGTAGCACTGACTTCACATTGGAGTTGAAAATCCGGATGTTATTTTTAATTCTCAGTGCTGTTGACCTCCACACAGACTTCATGAGAGTAATGAAAGCTTGTCTTGCCTTTCCAATTCTGGCTTTGATATCTTCGTTAGTTCCGCCTGTAGTTGAAATGATACTTCCCAGGTAGGTAAAGGAGGTTGTTTCTTTCAGGTTCCTCCCATTTATGCAGGCTGATTGTTGTCTGTTGTTTTTTGTGTTGGTGTTGGCCAGGAATCTTCATCACCTCTGTTTTATCTATGTTCACTTGAAGTCCTATCTTTGATGCTTCTTCTGACAGCTTGTTGCTTTTCACTTGCTTCCATAACCTTCACCTACTCTGTCTTTACTTGAATTCCTGTCTTTGCAGTTTGTCTGACATTATAAGTGATTACGAATGACCATTAAAGTTTTCAAAACAATGGTTACTGGACAAATAATACTCATGTCGATAACCTGCTCTTCATCAGGTTCTACAGTTATATATCTACATAGTAGTGAATGAATTAGTGTTATTAACAACATTATCGCTGTTTAAATAACATCGAATCAATAATACCAATAGATTACAGTTCAGTAGCATCAACATAACAATACACACCGAATATCAGAAAATTTGGAAAAATAATCATGTAGAATCCATAAATTTATAGTCTCCACTGAAGGCCGTCCTGGGCAGTAGTAGTGGCTGGCTGGACTTGCTTCTTCTGCACACAAAGCACTGGCTGTTTCACACGAATTGTGATAGCCTCTGTTGTTTGGACGATGCGGTACCTGGATGCTTTAGGCAGTTTATCTGGTACTCAGTAGATGATAGAGAAGGATCCTTCAATGCTGCCTTTGTGGCCGACTCGCCAGCCATTTTGGACCAGGTGATTTAATACTGAACTAATGATGGATTTTACTACACCTTTAATTAGCCATACTGGGAGATGTTCTCCAGTGAGCAAGAAAAATCAAGTTCCTAGATCAACGGCCGATATAACTCGCTACACCAGAAGCTCAGTTGATTTGGTAGAAGTGGCTAGTCTAGGTGTGGTGAGAGCTGGCTGCTAGCCAAATTGTTAGACAGTAATTTACATCAATGTTCACGTCTCCAATATTGGTCATGAGAACAATAAGAACAAAGGCTAATTCAACAACCAATCACAGCAGACTTTGCCTAGGCGGATACAATTTGCAGATAGATAATCTGAACTTCAATAAACGGCCACAAAGAGATGAAAGATTAACGTTCAGAGAGAAACCACCAATCAGAAGACTGTGCCTGTTTGCTTGCAATAATCTATATTAATGTACACGAAGATCTATAAATATCTCTTGATTTCCGTGATAAACGATCTATTGCCTGACTTTTACCTTCTGTGTTTACATAGGTAATTCATCTTTCAATCGAGGTCATGTAGTAAACATGACTTGAAGTTTGCCAGCATTAAAAGTTATTTGAACTGATTTTCTTAATTTCTTCGTAATTATTTCACTAGATATATATCGCCCTTGAACTACAGTTGTATGTCTGGCATTTAAAAAAAGTCGGCAAAGAACTCCAAATCTTCTCAGCACTTCTTATCTTCCTAAAGTGTTTCTGACTTCTCGCTTCCTTTTAAGGCTAAAAATATTAGCGACGTACAGAGAATATATATTGTCTGTGTAAATGAGTCAATTACATTACTACAGATTTACGTATTTAATATACATTTGTTCATTGTTCAATAGTCAATGTATGAAATTAATATTTTAAAGAATTTGAATATTGAACGCACACCTACACGATGAAATGCATATATATATATATATGTATATATTTATAGGCATGCATAAGTATATCGATTGATTTACAAGGTGTCGTTATCATGTGACTCATTATTATTATTGATGACAATTGATTTGAGTTTCTCTTATTTTCAAAAAATGACATCAATATTCATGTCATTCAATCTGATGACTGTGAAGCACAATAAAAGATGATTAGGTAGATAGAATTTGGAGAGTGGTAAAGAATGTAGAAATACGAAAAATTTATTTTTCTTTGTATTTTATTTTAATTTTATAAAAAAATATTGTTCAAGAAAAAATTTTCACCTGTCTTATTTTCTCACCAAATATAATAAAAACAAAAAAATAAGGATAAAAAAAGATAAAATAAATTTCTGAACTTGAGAAGTTTTGTAACTCAGACCTAGACGATTTGGATGCGGTTGTGTTCTCCCAGTTGGATATGGTTTTATTGTGAGGCAGCTTTCACTTTACTTTAATTCCCAGAGGAGCATAAGGCTTCAGCTGCACGTCTCTATTGCGTTCTGTTCTCTGCCAACGTTTCCTCACCTCACCGCACGTCTACCCACATGCTGTCATCATCTCCTCTTCATATGACCTCCACCTTCAATGACTATTTCTCACATCCATAAAGGAGAATATAGCGAACTGCCGGGGAGTTCCCAAGCTCTTTAATTGATAACCAGACGGATATCACGTGTATGCCAAATGGTGACATGAGATAGTAAATGCTTCATGAACCATTTGTATCCAAGCTGAGATTTCATCACTACTTAGTCCTTTGAGGCCAATGGGACGTCTCCATTACGGAATTTGCGGCACTTAGTTTCTGCAGCATTCAACATTTCCACAATTTCCTAGTGTCTATAGGTTTCTACATACATCTGCATGAAGTAATACGTGTTGTGGCTTCGGAAGGCTAGTTTATATTCTTCCATTCTTAAGTCGAAGACATCCATAGTGATCATATTTCATGACCTACTTAGATATAAATTCATATATTTTATGTTAGTTCATTATATTAAAGGTATTTTTGTGTTTCCCCAATGTGACTGAAAAACAAAAAGATATTGGCGTTTTTTTACTGACGTTTCGCTATTTAAGGCTACTGCTAATAGCTTTATCAAAGTGGTTTTATTTAACCAGAATTTACAAAATCTCAGCTTATATGTGACAACTTAATCATCGTTCCTCAACATGAGGTCATTTTCACGTTGTTAAGTTAGCCAATTAGTAAAGATGACAAAACTATCATGTGTAGACTGTTGGGTTTGATAACTATATGAAGTTATAAAAGCAGCATGTGTTTACATAATGAAATTGCTTATCACATTCGTGTTGATTTTGCCCTTTTAAGGGGGAGGAGGGGTGTTGTAAGCAGGTCAAATTCTGTTTTAGTCCATAATTTATATCCAGACAATTTGGATTCCATATGATATGAAGTGCTTCTGGTGATTTAAGATGATCTTTGTGATTTTTGAAATTTCAATATTGTCAAAGCCACTTTTGTGGCTTGATTTTATAGCTTGTAGAGGAGCTATGGCTGATGATTTTTCAAGCTATTCTAGTTCAACTGGATCTCTTGATGTTCGTATATGGGCGGCTCTACGGTGTCCATCTCTTCTGATCTTGATTTCTCGAGATGTTTGTCCCATGTATATCGCATCACACTCCAAGCATTTTATTTTATAGACATAGGTGGATAGAGAGTCATTAGGGATTTGGTGTTTTAGACGGACAAGGTTGTTTCGTAGTGAGTTAGACGTTTTAAAGAAGACTGTAATGTCGAGCTGATTGAGTACTCTTCTGATGTCGTCTGATGTCTCTGCTCTATATGGAATGACGACTGTTGAGGTGCATGTTTTAGGAATGCGTTTTTGGCCATACTTAATGTCAGTATTGATTTTGTTGATGAAGTTCTTTGGGTAGTTGTTTTGCTTGAGAGTCTTCTTCTTTTTCTTTCTCATCCGTTATCAGAGGGTGTGATCGTCTAAGAAGACTTCAAACAACTGATACCTTTGTTATGATGGGGTGTGATGATCCGAAGTCTAAATGTTTGTTGGAGCGTGTTTCCTTCTTGAATAGAGATGTATTAAAATGTCAGTTTTCTAGCCTCTTAACTAGGCAGTCTAGAAATAGTAGTTCACCGACGTCTAATTCTGCCTGCTTTTGAAGTAAACTGTATTCTAGGAGATAGATTGTTCAGTTCTTCCAAGAATGAACTGTGTAGATCTCACTTTGGTGAAATATTTTAGCAGTGAGTATGCTTGAAAATATGTTATCTTCGAATCTATTCATGAAAAGGTCAGCGATTACTAGGGGAACTGGTGAACCCATAGCAACACCATTTGTTACTTCCCTAAATTTACTTGATACTCAATCGGTTTAGCGGTATATTAATGCACATTGCTTCTCTCTTTCGGATGCTTTTTTGGACTTTAATCTGTTTATAGTATTGATTCACTGTAATTTAAAACAGCATCAACGTCTTTCCCGGCAATGATTTCTTTAATTATTACTGTTATATTATGATAAGACCAGATGAAGAACATATCAATAGTCAGTCCTTTTAATATTATGCCTTGTTAAATTTTAGAAACTGAATAACCCAGAGACTCAATTAAACCCTCCTGACTGTCAGAAATGCTTAAATTATGAATATCTACAGGAACAGTTGCATACTTATATCAGGTTATATGGTAAATTAAGTGAAAGAAGCAGTCATCATGATACATCGGACAGATGTTCTTCATTTGATGAAGGTAGGCAGCGTATGTGCTGTTTATTTTATCTTTGACTTAGATTTATTGGATGAGAAGGGTAGAAATAACTTGTCAGGTAGAAATAAACTCAAAAATCAACGTCAAGTAAGTCATGCTACATGTTAATTTTTCTTTGTATGAAATATACTACTTATCAAGTAGTAAGTTGTTGAAAAAGTTTCTTTGTTTATTTTAAGGCTGATTTTTTATTTTTCTGTTTCACCGAAATGTTTAGCGTCTGTTGACATGCCACCTTCTAGTACGGTCTCTTCGAGGATGTCTTTTGATTGCGATTTGTGTTTACTAGTGGTTGAATCCAGATTGCATAGATATTTTTGTAATGGCTTATACACATTATATAGGTGGAGGGTGGATGGAGGTTAATGAGTCCCTTAAGTAGCCTTTTGGTTAATGCTATGGCTTTCGTAACGATGGATGCAGGGTTCAAGTGTTAGTGTTTATTATTCACAATACGCTGAGACTTAAATAAGGACGCTGAGTTGGACAAAGACGCTCTGATTAAAAATATCGCTTGACTACTCCAACAGCGTTATGCAACAGCTACCAGTTTCCGCAGTCCAAACTACTTAATCGAGAATACACTACAAAGTGATGAAGTCTAATACAAGACGTCACCAAGGTTGTCAATTAGTTTTTATTTATGACCAATAAAAAAGTCATTACACGGAGGCCAATCTTGATTGGTATATTTTTAGGCTGGAAAAAGGTCATTTAATTTGGTTCATTTTAACCGGTTTATTTCGATACTGGACATCGATCAACGTATGACCAATAAAAGATAATCCATATAACACTGAGAGAACCATCAGCCACTAGGAATGCAGGTGTAATGGGAGAAGATAAGAACATTGGTAACGGACCTTTCTCAAGGAGGAAATACATCATACATATATCCATTGTTAGCCACATTACAGTTCGACTAGATAAGAGGAGAATAAGTTGTTCTGGTTGGTTGGCAACTCGTCCAAGGTTAAACAAGTTGTTCAATGAGAATATTTCATTCAAGTGATGGTTTGTAGGGATTTGATTGGTTTCAGGACTTCATCATGAGCTGACATTAGTTAGGGAACCATTGGAAAACCTGGGAGTACCGGACAGCTGTTTCGTCCTAGTTTTGGGACTCTTCAGTAGTACGTACCCACCATGATTCGGTGGGTGCGTACTCCAGTACTCCAAGGTTTTCCAATGGTCCTCTAACTAAAGTCAGCTCATGATGAAATCCTGAGAATATTTCATGTTCACATCGTAGACAGAATCCAGATTTTAGGAACAAACTATTCTACCTCTGTAGCGTTTTACTCATAATGTTATTTCCATTTCAAGCCATTTCCTATTTATCTACATCAGACTATACTGGTGCACCCAGCTGATGAGTTCCAAATAGGATGAAACGCACTTCCCGTATTCCATCTCTAGCCACAACCAACCAAAGCAGTTTAAAGAGATTTTATGAAATTATTTGTTTTGAATATGTACAACTGTTCACAGGAATTGTTACTAATTAACGGTAGGCGATAAGTCTGTTAATATTTGCAAGGACTCGTTGCGTTTATGTGCGTCGGTGGCACAGTGGTTAGGACTCTCGCCAAACATGCACATGGTCCAGGGTTCGATCCCATGCCGATGCACACCTGATATCTATGTTCACCCTGCAAAATTTGGCCTACCGGTATCACATGCTAAAAATTCCATACTTGTACCAGAAATACGGTGTGGAATCAAGCTGTAATAAAAAAAATATCTCACGTGTGACATATTATATATTTATTACCTTATCCGTTGCGTTCGAATGTGGAACATAGGCCTTCAAGCTTGAGCTCTGAAGTTTTGGTAACATTGATTTTCTTTTACAGGGTTGGATCGCTAATTTCACACTCATCCTCCACTGTAGGTCAGGCTTGATACCGGTTTAGAGGGGTTTGGTAGTCCTTTGACTGGAGATCGAACCTTAACTCACGTATGGTTATCATTCTCCCGTTGAACTGCTGATTTATACAAACTAGGGCGTACTAGACAACTATTTCATTCTAGTTTTGAACTTTTCAGCTGTATAGGTGTAAACCACGGAGGTGACGGTTACAAGGTGAACTAGTAGACCATTAAGCTGTTGGGACTCTGTATAATGTATGCGAAGATATTAAGGCTGCTTACATACATTAGTGTCAAGCAAGTCAGTTCTTCCGTTTGGCTCGGAAAATTGGCATGCATGTCACTGGGGGCACTTTCAAAAGGCTACTGCAGACATTTATCAACATCTATGTTTGCTGTCCCACTAATGAAATTTAGATGCCTGAGCAGAAACGATAGGTATAAAAGGAACTCTGACAATCAGAAGACTAGTCAAGAATCTATTTTTTAATAATTAAGCAGAAAAGATCATGGTAGAACTGGACGTAATACTCTGAGAAGTGTCGTAAGTAAAGTTACACGCCGAGTAGAACCTTGGGTGGAACTAAAATAAGAAACGATGATTTGTGACACGGAAAACGATGAGTGAGAAAGAGATGAAAGCTTACGAGAAGTCATGAAGCCAGCTTAAAAAGAAGGCGGAGAACAGGATGAGATAGAGGTGTGCTGCTGAATAGCCATGTTTCACTCTCCCTACCCAAGGGAACAATAATAATAGTTTTCTATAGTTGGTTTGTAAAAATTATCTTAGTTTTTACGAGTTGATCACGGATTGATATCATTTAGACAACCATTGAAAACCAGCCACATGGAATACTGGACAGCTGTTTCGTCCCAGTCCGGGAATCATCGGCAGTACGCACCCACTAGTGTTAAAACCCACGACCTCCCGGTTACAAGGTATGCTCGTATACCATTCAGTCCCGCCAATGCTATTGGTTGGTGGTTGCGCTAAATCAAGAACTTGTACAAGTTTGAAATGAAGGTTTGGCCGTTGAATCGAGTCCTGGCGGCTGAACAGTATACGAGCTTGCCTTGTAACCGAGAGGTCTTGGGTTCAGTGCATGCGTACTGCCAATGATTCCCAAACTAGGATGAAACATCTGTCCAATACTCCATGCTGGTTTTCCAATGGTTCTCTAACTGAAATCAATCCGTGATCAACTCGTAAAAATAATAATAGTGACAGGTATATATAGATGAATGAAACTCTGAATTTTGTTTTAGTTGCTTCATTCCCAAGCGCCTTCATCATAGTCAGGGATCTGTGGATACTACGACGTATTGGATCATTGCTTTTTGTTAAAACGTGGCGTTTTCATTGAAAGTTCTCACTAGAGTATGTGATACACCACTAAGTCAGTTCGTTACTACGGTAGCTGATAGATACTTGAACTCATTCGGCAAATGGTCTAAATCCATTTTGTCTGTTCATCCACACCCTCTCTATTCACACAACTCTCCCCTTACTTGCATGTCAATAGGTAGGACTGGAATTCAGTATATGAGACTATATAGTCTCTCTCACAACTAAGTAAAAAATTCAACGCTGTCATATTTGTTCCTCCCACGTTCTATGTGACAGCGATAGTGTAGTGTAACTTGAGAACCTTACACCTTACCGTGTAATTAGCAAAATAAATGGCCGTTTGATTTTCGCATATTTGGGATTTACGGGTGACACTATTTTACTTATCTTATAATTTCAGTTATTATTATTATCATCACTTTACACTTTTTGTACATTTTTGACTTTATCGTCACTGATTCCATATTAGTTTGTTTATTAGATGTATGTATCAGACAGTGAAACAGTATTACTGTTTACTGGATGACCAGGTTTCGAACAAAAGTTATTACTGTTCATAATCATTCCATTAATTGTAATTACACGACTTCGAAACTTGAGATTTGTAGTTTTCTTTGTCCTCTCCTATTTGTCGTCGTAGGTGTGGTAGTAGAATTTTCTAGATATCTGAGACAGGTTCCTATCATTCCTATTACACGTATTCTCTTCAGTTGATTCGATAAACATGGATTCTGTTATCAATCTCTCCCTCCATTCACCCTGTGACATTAGATTTTAAAACCGTCATCTTATCCTATCCCATCCTATTGTATGGTTGTGTGTAGCTGCATGTAGTGAGTGCTATATCTGAATTTTTTCTCTAGATTTCTTATCCTATTTGGGTCAACCAATCTAGATTTTGCTGGATTTTTATGCTACGCTAGTCAGACTGATCCTGTTGTACTACTTTGACCTATGTATTTGACCTGACAATCACTGCAGGCAGGGTGTTAGATAAACTGAATTGTTTTGTTTTAATGGCTCCATAGGATTGATCCTTTAACCGACAAAGCTTGTTTCTAATTGAGGTTGTGGTTGGTTTGAATGACAGGAATTTTTATTCCTGCCTTGTTAGGAATTCTGCGTAAAGTGGTTTCCGAGGTTACTTCCTTGTATGGAATTACTATCATTATTTTAATTGATGACAACTCTGACTTTTAATTTCATAAAGTTTCACAGTAAGGAAAATGAAGCACAAGAAAATCCAATGAAATCTCATTCGGATTATTCATCGACAGAATGTCTAGCCTCAAAAGAATATACCACTGTCAATAGTAATGTAGATACCACTAAGTACTGTGGAGCAGAATATATCAAGTGAGATAAGAGTTTGTTTAAAAAGTAACATATATATGCATTTATTGATAGACCTTTCTTCCCAGGTTTTCATTTTATAGGCGTAGTATGACTGAAATATATGAATAATGTTCTTTTTTTTATGACTACTTTCCGGTTGTTGTGTCATTCACTAAATGAAATGTGCCACAGAAAAGTACATAAGACTTCATGTCACAGATTTGCATACCCCTATAATTGATTAAAATGAGTGGTTTTAAACCACTCATAACAACCAGTAGTGTTTGCTGGCTATCCAGCTAATAAGTAAAACAAGGCTGTCTACCACCTCCAATGAAGAGACATGCAAAAAATGCATCCACACAAAAACTCCGAGGATATGGACTTCGCCCGTGTGTGCGTCGGTGGCACAGTGGTTAGGACTCTCGCCGACCATGCACATGGTCCGGGGTTCGAGCCCACGCCGACGCACACTTGATATCTATGGTTGGCCTGCGAATTTTGGGCCACCGATATCAACGCTGAAAATTCCATACTTGTACCAAAAATACGGTGTGGAATCAAGCTGTAATCAAAAAAAGATATTTGTCTAATTTTCCTCAAAATGAAATATATGCAAGTGAAAAGCAACAAGTTGGCAGAAGAAGCATCAAGGATAGGACTTCACGTGAACATAGAGAAAACAGAGGTAGGTGATGAAGATTACTAGCCAACAGTAAAAGACAAAAATCAGCACAAATTGGTGAAATGCGAAAGAAGCAGCCTCCATCACCTACCTACCTACCTACCTGGGAAGCATCGTTTCAACTACAGGCGGAACTGACGAGGATGTCAAAGCAAGGATCGGGAAAGCAAGGCAAGCTTTCATTACTCTCAAGTCTGTGCGGAGATCAAGAGCACTCAGCATGAAAAATAAAATCCGAATTTTCAACTTCAATGTAAAGTCAGTGCTACTATATACAGATCAGAGACTTGGCACTGCGTCACAAACGACACTTCGAACAAACTAGATACTTTCATCAACAACTGTCTTCTCTCAAGACTACTCAAGATCAGTTGGTTGGCCAGAAATGATCAACAACAGGAATCTCTGGCGATGAATGAACCAACCCAGTAGGAACCAACTGTGTAACAGATGTGTAGGAAGAAATGGAGGTGGATTGACCATACTCTGAGGAAACAAATCATCAAGTGACATCACATGCCAGGCCATTGCACGAATGGAACCTAAATAGGAAGTGGGAAGTTGGTCATCAGTGCAAGGGTGACATGAAGGAGGAGGTCATGTGAACAGGAGATGAAAGCATATGGTAGACGTGGAGCCAGGTGAATACGTCGGTGGGCAACAGAACGCAATGGAGATGTGCAGCTGAATCCCTACTTTTTTCTGGTAACTAAAGGAGACAATAATAATAATACATCTTGATGATCTAAACATTGTACGCCAGTTTACTTCGTTTTCGAGGTAAGCTCATCAGAGGTGTAGGCGGTTTACGTCAGCTCAAAAAGTCGAATCAGTTGAAACTATCTGATTTCTGGCTAGCTACTTAGGTGAATTAGTGACAGCATAAATCAGATGCACTGTTTGCAAATCGGTTAGCAATTTTCAATACACACAGTTTGAGGGAAAAAACTTCCACCACTGTAGTTTCCCTTGGACACCGAAATTATTTTTAGATCACCAGAACATGTGATCTGCTTGATACCATAAGTGGAAATTAAGAAAGCAAGCTATATTTGCATCACAGACTGTGAACTGAAGTGATTTTAGTTTCCAATGTAAACTATAATAGTGAAAATTTCACCCCTTGAATTGTGAAGATTGCAGATTGTTAATTTAATTTCCTGTTATACACTTCACCGCTATCCATCATAATATTTGTATTTTAAGATTATCTTAATAACATTTCAGATTTCACTTTTCAAGACTATGATTAGTCCTCAGATTAGAAGACTTTTACTTTTTAGCTGTATTGTATTTTCCCGTCAGTTTTATTTTACTGCCAAAGCTTTATGACAATGCTACGCGTCAATTGATTCATAACGGAAAAATCTGAGAGGTATTCAAAGTGATTACAGGAGTAAGAAAAAGCTGTCTACTTTCATCCACAATGATATTCTTAATTATGGTTGTCTGGATAATACTTCTGACTGTGCTCCAAGAGTGAGAAGATAGGAACACTCTTGTCCGACCAATTACAAGACTCTGGAGGATCTAGGTTTCGCTGATAATTTACGTTTGAAACCTTGCAGTCGAAAACCAACAAACTGGCTGTGGAAGCAGTTCAGTGAAGACAGGACTTCAGGTGTACATAAAGAAGATGGTGGTGATGAAGATAACCAATGAGAAGCTACAACAACAACAACAACAGCAACCAGCACTGATCCCCATCGGCGGGAGAGATTTAACAGAGGTTACCTTCTTCACTCATCCAGTAAGCATCGTTTCAACTACAGGCAGTCGAAGAGGATAAAGATGTTAAGACCGGTCATTCAGAAGTGAAAAGACAATATACTCCTTCATCAACCTGAAACCAGTTTGAAAATCTTCTGCATTGAGCATAAGGAACAAGATTCGCATTTTCAACACCAATGCCAAGTCGGTCCTTCTATACTTGTCAGGAACTTGGTACAAAACGAACAGGATTCCCAAAAGGTAGCAGACTTTCTTCTTCAGCTGCCTTTGCTTCATTTTTTTTCCTTCACGTCCCCAGTGAAACATAGGGCTCCAAGCTAGTGGCTTGAAGTTTCTGTAGCAGTGTTTAATTTTTACAGGATGAGGTTGCTAGCCTCATGCCTAACCTTTCCTCTTTACCAGCATTATTTCTGGCTCAGTGAGGTAAAGGAGTGCGCCGGCCGGGGATCGAACCACGGACCATATGCATGGTTGGCTAGCGTCCTAACCGCTATAACACCGACGCTTCATACTGAAGTTCAAATGTCCGGCCAGCCGGCAGAAGGAATTAGCAACAACAAACTCCGGCTCAAAGCCAATATAGAGCTGATCTCTCAATAAATATGTAGGTGAAAGTGAAGATGGATCGGTCAGACATTGAGGAAACCATCGAATAACATCGAGAGCCAGATCATAGAGTAGAATCCTTATGGTAAGCGACGAATGCGTCGTTAGTGTGAGGGTGACATGGAGGAGGACGCGTGGCGGAGAGGAGATAAGTGATTACGGGGAATTATGGACACAGATAAAGATGATGGCATACAACAGAAGAAAGGGGGGATGTATTGTTAAAACCCTATATATGTATAGTTGTAGAAAGTGAAAAGGAGTTAGCCGAAAATAATATTCCTTGTTAAAGTCTTATTTTGTCTTCTAAGTTTCGCTGTTTATTGAAATTCCAGAGTTTTCTTTTGAAAGAAGCATGAATAACTACTATTGATCCATCATTGAATCTTTTGGCAGAAGTAAATTTCTTTCATTCGACTGTTTCTTTTTTCACAGGCAAAAGGAATCACTTTTGGAAACAAAGTTGACTAATCGATCCGACGTTACACAGAATAGCCATTTAAGTGAGTAAACAGTTTATCGACTTATATCATTGATAAAAACTAAGAGCAACCTGTACTGACAGTAGATTTAAATGTTCTTGGACACTTTAAACCGGCCGTTGTCTTGTTCACTTATCTCTGTTCAATTAAAGTATTGGTTAGTACGTATTTGAGTGATTGATTACGGGATTTCGTTGTGAGCTGACATCGGTTAGAGAACCATTGAGAAACCGCCAGGGAGAACTGCACAACTAGCTATTTCGTTAGTCTAGTTTGTGACTATTCATGAGTACGTACCCACCGCCAGAGTTTGAGTTCAGGACCATCTGGTTTCAAAACGAGCTACCTCGTAGACAATTAAGCCACTGAGAATTGATCCAATGGCCAACCCATGATATCTAACTTCTGCTAATTCATGACGTGGTAGAAGTTAGAATTCATAAGTTCGCCGTTGAATCGTGTCCCAGTGGCCTAATGGTCTACGAGCTAGCTCGCCTTGTAACCAGAAGGTCCTGGGTTCGAACATCCTGAGTTGGTTGCGCAATGATGAGGAGTCCTAAACTAGGATGAAAGAGCCGTCCAGCAGTCACAGGTTTTCCAATGGATCTCTTACCGATGTCAGCTCAAGATTAAATACTGTACCTTGTATATGTATTTTGCTACTGAAAGTTATTTCATATCGAAACGTTTTAGCCTATTTTGGCATAAATCTGGTGGGATTGGTTTATTTTCCTTTCAAAAATTATTTATTTGGGTTCTTAATGGAACATAGGGCTTCAACGAGACATCTTCATTCCCCTCTGTTTTCTACAGGCTAGTTTAGCTGACTTCACAAATACTCTTAAGCTTTCATTTCCTTCTCACACGATCTCCCACACCCAAGCTCATCAGCCTCTTTTGCATTCACATACTTCACTCCATGGTCTGTCTAACGTATGATGTTACTCAACAATCCACTAAGTGTATGTCGAATTTATCAACAATTTCTTCCACATATTTCTTGGATGACAGATTGTTGGTTGATTTGTCTTCAGAATTCCTTGTCGCATATTCTTTCCAAATGACCATCTCACCTTCAGTAGTGGCACAGCGAAGACAACTATTGATGAATGTTTGCATTGTCTCGGTCAAAAATTGTTTTGTCGATGCGCCATGTCTCTGACATGTATAGAAGAATTGACGGACCTAAAATTGCTGTTATAGAACCAGATTTTATTAGTTATGTGGAATGCAGTAGACTTGTACAGTGGTTTCAGAATAAAGAAGGTCTATCTGGCCTGGTCTGTTTCGTCTATTGTTGAAACAATGAGAAGAAGAGGTGACTGCCTTCAAATTTCTTCACTTGATGTTGACTGGTATTTGTTGTTGGAGATCAAGTTTCAACTTCACCTCTATCTTCTCTGTGCTCATGTGAAGTCCTGTCTACACTGCCTAAGACCAGCAATAAAAGTGACAAAAACAACAAAAAATAATAGAGAATTCAACGACAATGTAACATTGCCGTATAAAGAAGGAACGTCAGAGGCCTTAGGTAGAATTCTCAGCGAGGCTGGAATCAAGATGGCATTTAAACCAAACAATTCTCTCAGGGATTAAATTTATATCCCCTTGTACCGACAGGAGACAAGGGTCAGGCAACAGATCATTTATTGAGAAAATCAAGCGGTATTTAAAGATTTTTATGTGCATTATTATTAGCGTTATTGTTAGCGAAGAAGCAACGTCTTCTGATTGGTTGTTTTCTTGCTTAAGGTTATTCTGTACTGCTTGTGACCATTTCTTAGAAAGTTAAGCCATAAATCTGCGTTTTGCGCACGTTGAGTTTGCCGTGATTGGTCCAAACCTTAACTTCAAGGTTAAGGTTTGTTTTTCATACCCTGATTCGGGATGTAAACATTGACGTAAATTGTTATCTACAATTTTCAAAACAGTAAATATCGAACAAAGAATACTCTTTCCGATGACTTGGTTTTCATCAGGTTCTACAGTTACACATAAATACATAATAGTGAATGAAGGATTTAGTGTTATTAACAACATTATTGCTGTTTAAATACCATCGAATCAATAATACCAATAGATGATAATTCAGTTGCATCAACATAACAATAAACTGAATATCAGAAAAATAAGAAGTATAATAATGCAGATTCACGAATTTATAGTCTCTGTTGAAGGCCGGCCACGGCAGTGGTAGCGGTTAGCTGGACTTGCTTCTTTTGCACATTAAGTACCGATTGTTTCACACTAATCGCGACAGCTTCTGCTGTTTGGAGTGTATGGTACCTGGATGTTTTTGGCAATTTATTTGGTACTGGGTAGATGATAGAGAAGGATTCTTCAATGCTAGCTTTTTGGCGAGCCGGCAGGTTTGAACCATGTGGTATAATATAGAACTGTTGAGGGTTTTTACTACACCTTTAATTAGCCATACTGGCAGATGTTCTCGAGCGAACATGAAAAATCAAGCTCCTAGAGCAATGAACAATATAACTAGGCGCACAATTGCAGTTGAATCAGTAGATACATTTAGAATTAGCTAGTCCGTCTTTCAGTTGAGGAATCACCAATGGTCCTGTAGAAAATATGACATGTAGTATTCCAGCATTGAAAGTTCTTTGAACTGATTTGCTTAACTTCTTCGTAATTATTTCACTAGAAATATCGCCTTTGAATTGCAGTCGTATATATAATGGCTTCTTGTTTATGGATAGTAAGAAGTCGTTTTCCGCTTTCTTTGGCTTGCAGACAGCCCTCACGACAGTCTTAAGGACCCAATAGAAGCAATTAGGAAAAATAATATAATTTATTTTATTTTTTATTTTTTTTATTTTTGATTTACAGCTTGATTCCACACTGTATTTTCGGTACAAGTATGGAATTTCCAGCATGGATATCGGTAGCCCAAATTTTGCAGGCCGACCATAGATATCAGATGTGCGTCGATGCTGGCTCGAACCCCGGACCATTTGCATGGTCGGCGAGAGTCCTAACCACTGTGCCACCGACGCACAGTCATGTCAATTACACACGTCAAACTAACAGAACGGAGTCAATCAGATTGTTGGAACACGAAAATGTCGCTAAACGTAGAATGGTTGACTCTAGTAAGTTAGATAACCTAGAAAAAGGTCATCCATTGTATTGCATCGCATTCACTTGCATGCATTCCTCGCACCCTTAAGTTAGAGAAGGTGAGAGTATTAAAAAGTAATATAGTTAAGTGGAGACAGAGAGAGAATAATCACTAAAGCTTTGTTTATCGATTCAACATTGCACACGTGAAGTCGGAATAACGCAATACCGCCTAAAATGGAGATTTGGAAAGTGGCAACAAACAACAAAGGGAAGCTGGACAGACAGTATGCGATGATTGTGAAAACGTGTGACTAAACTGATATGATTATAGGTGGCAATAACTTATGCTCGGAACCATGTCATCCAGTTTTTTTAAAACTGCACCATTCCTGTGTGATATTTTAAATAAACTTACTTAATATGGAATTGCCTTCTAGCACAGTGCCCAAGTTCTACACTGAAATTATTCACTGCCTCTCCAGCCAATTTTTTATCACTTAATTTACTCGTCAGACTTAAGCCCGAAATGATTAGTAAGGTTAGGCATGGGGCACTCTGGAAAATCAATTAAGTCGGTAAAGGAAAAATATGGGAAATATAGTGCTATGGCTAAAATGTTCTTTAGACTTCTTATCTACGACAGTTCTATGCGTCTGGAGTTTGCTTAGTTTCTGTGTCCTGCTATCCTAATTCACCTCGACAAGAGACCAAGTGACATCTGTTTTTTTCCAGAAATTTGCACGTTCACATAAGATATTCAGCGATTTAAAGGCCATTCGGTTGAAAATTCCGCCACTAAGTTGGAATTCATTGGGTCATATCTCCAGCCGACACAAGGCTGCATATTTATCGAGAGTATCTAGCTTTCTATTGATTTCTCAGTGATCCTCAAACTCTTATCGGTTTACGTATCTGGAATCCCTTGTTCCCACTAAGCTCTAAAGCCTGAAGTAATAACAGATTGAATTACTTTTCCGTTTGAAACAGTTAGATTTTTGTGGGGATTTAACTTGTTTAGAGTTTGATCACGTGTTGATATCATTTGAAGAATCATTGAAAACCACTTAGTGAGTACTGGGCAGCTGTTTCGTCCTAGTCTGTGACCCATATACAGTACGCAACTTCCCTAGAGTTCAAGTAAGAAGTCGTGACTCGTAGGATCCACTTGGTCGAGAATGGGAATAAATACCGGCCAACGACGTTTTTCAGTGGCCACACAAGAATCATAAACATAGTAGAAATAGGAATTCATGGACTGCTCATTGTGTCAGGTCCTGGCCTTGTAATCGGAATATCCAGCGTTTGAACCTCGGGGGTCAGGTACTGATAATGATTCCCAAACTTGAACGAAACAGCTATCCAGTACTTTCTGGTTTAATTTTTGATCTGTTGAGTGAATGAAAATACTAAATGAAAACAATTTTTCACCCTCTATTTCAGGTTGTTCAGATAAAGGATTACTATCAAAGGTATAGAAAAACAAGGTTTTCAGATTTCTAACTCTTTAATATGACATTTTTTAATTCAATTTTTCATATGTCTTTTATTCTATGTTGGTTCACACTTGTACGCACACACTAATGAAGGATATTCATCGGAATCAAGGATTGGACAACTGCATTGATTATTTGTTTTTAAATAGATTTAGACTTTCCCGTTGACTGGTTGTAACAACATTTTCAGCCTCTTCGAAATATTGGCTCCTGGGATGAATTCTTTGAAGATGTCTGAGAATTAACTTTGAGTAATTTCGTAGATAGTGACTAGCAGTCAGATTCAAAAATAAAAGGAAGAACTTTGAAGTCTTCCCCGTAACAGAACTACACTCCCAAGCACATCCATTTAGGGTCTGTCACGAGTTTCAGACAACCGAGATATAGTGGTGAGCATTCTTGGTCATTCTGAACCCTGTTTTAAGTAAGAATGCCACTGCCAGTCATCATCCTTCAAATTACTTTAAGAGAGGAGATTGTTTTTAAAATATCTTCAGCTTTCGATAATGCGACAGGAATTTACCTGGCCAGTTTTGATTTTTCATGGGAAATCAACATCGTATTAGAAACAAATATTAACTAATTCTCTTTGCACAAGAGATGATGGCTCTTATGGACAAAATGGTCTACTGGGCAACGCGTTAGCATCAGAAACGATGTTTAGTGGGTTTGAATCTCAGTGGGAACAAACACAAATACTTTTAGGGAATGCCAAGTCCCCTTTAGATCGTTGGGATTCGCTGTATTTTATAGCAATACGAAGCCATCATACCCACGGTTTCATGTTTTAGTTGTTTATATTCAACGGGAAGTGTTTGGCATGATGAACTGATGTCTAATACCGTTTGTAATTATTGGTAGAAGTTTCTCTTCTTCTATGTTGGATTTTAGTTAATCATAGGCACAGGGCATCGGATGGTTGTGCATTTTGATTCTCTTGAATTGAATTTTCCCGCTGTTATCCTGCCGAAGATTGGTTCTCATTGTAGAAGACCTGTTAGTGTTTTTGATGCCATTATGACAGTCGCTGCTTCAGTGTGTTTGTGGTTATTGTTTGGGCAACTGAAATAGAATATTGACTCTTCAGCTGACGATTTTTGTAGAGTCCACTTCCATTCCATCTACTTTGACAGATTCTGAGCACTTCTTTACCCATAGCTTCTCTTTTTTCTTACCATTTGGAAAGCCTTCCCAGTTATTGTATCTCAGCGGTTCCAGTGAAGTCCTGATAGTGATTGGATTTATTTTCCGGAGTCACTTTGTTCGTCTGAAGTCAAACGTTTGTTTGATGTCCGCTGATATTTGTGTCTACATAGTGCTGAGACACAAGTAAATGGTTTGTTTCACTGTACTTATCATGGGTAATATCCAACCGTCATGTAAGTGAATGATATGCTTCTATCTGCCTTTTAGCATTACACTGTTTTCCCAGTTTTGTCTTCTTCCTCTACCAAGAAAAGGAGCAACTTGTTAACTGACCGTTTCAGATAGTCTTCTGTTGGCCGTCTACAATTGACGTACTCAATGGTGATAAGTAGAAAGTGTAGTGATAACCTATTTTAGCACTTTATTCTTGTAGATGAGTGGGTAGACTGACTGGGTTGGTAGTTAGTGATTCGAATCCTACAACGGTTCACATTTTGCATTTCACCATTGGGTCGAACAAAACAAATACAAATGTTTGTATAGAATAAGATGTGATCGTCATTTATCTCGCTGGCTGCTTCTCCTCAACTGTTTACAGTCTAAACATTATTTATGGATATGTACAGAGAAATTTTGACATATATACAAGGGTTCTCCCCTGCCATTCATTGAACAGCATACTCTTTGGTAAAATCGAAAGTTGATAGACAGCCTTTCTATGTTAATTCTAATTGAGTCCACAATTTCACATGTATCTGCTATTTCAGTTGCGTTTGTAGAAAAGAAAGAAGGGCATATCTTAGATTCTCTAAACATGTACCAAAAAGCTTGCGTTTCAAGGGGAACAACTGATTTTAACAATGTCATTTCCAGCCATCATGTTGATATGGGTCATTTACTGGATACTGAAAAATCCTTCAAATCAACTCATTAAAAAGTAATCCAGTACTCATCATTATTTACTAACGACAGGGTATAGTTACCTGAAGTTCTAGGGACAGGTGTCGACCCTTCGGGTCCACCAAGTTTGGTGTGAAGACATACAGTCACTGATGACAGTGACTAACAATCACATTACAGTTCACGAATCGGCAGAAGTTAGAATTCATGGATCAGTGAGCTTACGCTTTAACCTGAAAAATAAATGATTTGGATCCCTGGTGGGGTTATTAGTGTGTGCTGGTTACTGAAGAACCCCAAACAGGGACGAAACAGCTCCTCAATTTTTGATGATTCCCTAAGCGCAGTTATTTCATCATCAGTTTCATGTAACCCCGGAGATTCACAAATTTTCAAATCGTAATAGTTATATGAAAAGATGTTAAACGAAATGGTTGAAATTCTGTTCCTTGATTTTGTTACTTCTTTTCTTTGAAGCTAAATGATGAGAACAAAGAATTGAGAAGTATGATCTCTGAAATGAATTCCTATTGGCAGGAGAGACAAAAGTAAGTGAAATAAAATTGGTTATTTCTACAGTCTGTCCAAAATAAATTATGTAATAGGTAGAAAGAGTGGGTAAAGAGATGGTTAAGAATACGTTGTTACTAAAAAGCCATACAAAAATTCAAGAAAGGAAGCATTATTAACAAAGCAGTAGAACTTGGAATTATAACCAAGGTAGAAGGAGTGATGGAGAGGTTTCTTGTGTGTACATAAACCAGGATTTTCCATCCGGATCGTTAACGCCTCGGTAATGCAAAGTATACAGAAGGTTACCGTTTTCAGGAAGCTTCTTTTGACTTTGTAAATGACAACCATAGGGATATTAATTTGCTACCAGTTATGTCTCAAATATCGGCTGCTGCCTTGCTTCTTGACTGTCCAAAACGAGTGAGGAGTTGATTGGCGGAGAGCAGGCTGGGTTTCGTTCAGGTCGTGAATGCATTGATCATGAGTTATTGGACCACTGTCACATATAATGCAGGCCGAAAATCGTTGTGTTGCTTGATATTAGGGCCACCCTTGATTTGTTAAACATGATTTCTCACTAGAATTCTCCTTAAGAGGAGAGTGCACTTGAGAAGCTTTTTAACATCCTCGAAGCCCTATACAAAAATACCTGAGGTAGAGTTAGGGCAAACAATCAGCTATCACCAACGTTCACAACCGTGTCCCTTTAACTTTGACATCGATGACATTATAGAGACGTCTCTGAATATAGAATATGGTAGTGATATAGATCCCTGTCGTTGAGAAAGACTATATCGTCTCTTCTTGAGATAGCATTCAACCTGCCCAAATCGCACTTATCAGTTGGTGATCAGTGTCTGTAATTATGGTCTGTGCTTTTCTCTATCCAAGCACAAACGTTTGTTACCAGATCAGCTGGAACCTCTACGTACACTCACTCCTACAGCTTAATCGCTTGAACTTTTCGCTAAGTTCATATATTTTGGTAGTTGTATGAGTGCTGGTGGAGATGTGATGGAACAGATTTCCATCTGCCTCATGAAAGTTAGACTGGCCTACGCCAATTTAAGCCACCTCTGGAGCCGTCGCAACTTTAGACTGACTGTCAAAAGTCGAGTTTACAATGCTTCGTTGTACGCAGTCTTGCTCTTCGCCTGTGATGTCTGACCTGCTCGGGCTAAGGACTCGGCACTCAATGTCGGAAGTACTATAATTTCTTTCTTTCATTACTTCCAGTCAGTAATTCGATGAATGTTGTTTGATCTTGTTAAATATAGCTGCTTCTTTTTCTGATGAAGTTGTTTATTCATTATTCACCTGTTTTCTTCTGTTTTGTCATTATTATTTGATGTACCTTCTTGGTGCTCATATTGTACCGCGTTCTGTGTTTTAAATCAATAAATCAATAATAAGAAAAGGATTAAACTCTTTAAGATTTCACATTAATATGACACGTTTTCATTTCAAATAATCTTCACTGCATTTTGCTAAATAAATAACACAATTTTCCCAATTGATAAACAAATGTGTTCTGTAGGAAGTTGGAAGATCGTTGTCGTGTTTTGTCTGCCAGGCTGAAAATTGAAAGATCCAGTCATCGTTCAAGTCATTATAAATCTTCATCTTGGATACGGTAAGCTTCTTTTTTACATAACAGTGTGTATGTATTCTAGTTGCATGGGAAGAACAAACAACCTTGAAAAGCTCCTTCCGTTCTAATTTCGAACGTCTCATCAGTGTATGTGTGTGTGTCCGCTCACGCATGCATGATAACCAGCAAGTTACGCTGTCTACACACACTTACTCTACTATATGAATTTGAATAAAGCAAGAAAAACAGTAGTTTGTGCAAAATAAGACTTCTCATTATTCAGTTTACGTGAAAAACAATTTTTTGACAAATTTGCAAATATTACTTAATGTTATTTTGTGCCTGGAGAATCCAAACTCAATGAACAGTGCTCGAAAATTTCACTTATATGTTTCTTATCCTTTGACAGTTCAGGTTGAAACAAAAATAAATGTTTCCTAACCATGGTAAAGCAGTTGCGTAAGAGAGTTAATATAGGGGAATACAATGATGAGTGCACTTAATAAATAGAGTAACACTGTGGTTAGTGAGTTCAACTCAAATGACTTAAAACAAGAGATAAGTGAAGTTACACTATACCAAAATGAGAGAGGTTAAAATTAAAGATCCCATATTCAGATGAAAGAGGCAGTAAAGACGTCTATTCACCATGGGGGGGGGAGGGGGTAAGAAACGATAAATTCTTCATTCGGAAAGTAAAAATCAGATTTTCAAGCGTTTGAAAGCAATCGGTTCAACAGGAAAACTGAACTATTCTGTCTATTCATAATCCTAAAGGATTAAAATAAACAGTAAACTGAAAACTCACTACATTTATAATTATAATAATAATTGAAATAATGGAGGTTTGAAGCTCAAGTCGATGATTTTGATTTAGTTGTGTTCTCTGAGTCAGTTGATTTAACAGCGAAGCTTCCGTTGTTCTTCTAGACAACATCGCCTTCAACGCAGAATGTGGAATCGTGACCACTGGGGTACAGCAACTGTGGTGTGAAGATAAATACTAGCCAATAACATGAGTAAGTGGTCGCAGAATATGGTAAATTGGTAGAAGTTAGAATTCATTGGTTGGCCACTGGATCGGATCCCAGTGGCTTAATGGTCTACGAGCTGTCTAGCCTTGTAACCAGAAGGTCCTAGGTTGGAACATCCTGAGATGGGTGCGTACGGTTAAACAGCCAGTCCCAAACTAGGCTGACAAAACAGGTAGCTGTCCAGTATTCCAACGTTTTCCAGTGTATCTGTAACCGATGACACCTCATGAGGAAATCCTGTAAACAGCCACTCAAATCCCTACAAACCAATACTTGAAAAACAATATAAAACAAGAGATTATAAGAAGAAGTTACTCCCACTTTCTCATACAACAAGTTATTTAAGATGGCGTAGAAAGGCTTGCTATCTGACTTTAAGCTTAATGAATACACAACTAACTTTATCAAACAAAACGCTTGTTTAGTTGTAAAAATACAGACAGAGGTAGTAAACTATTTACAATAGTTGATAAAAGTTTACTGTCACCGGATTGATTTTCTGGAGTAAGACCGTTAGCCCCACACTCAACCGAACGTCTTTTTGTGGATTTATGACCCTCCAGAGAACTATCGAACTAGTAAACGAAGAGGTTTTGACGTAAGTAGTTATCACATACTGAAATACTTTCGTGTGTAGTATCTAGAATTACAATTCAAGGCATATGGCATTTTTCCCCTTCGCGGCTCGTCATCCGGATACCTCTGCATTCTTCAGCCAGTAATGGTCTTTCCGCCTAGGCTGAAACGCTGCCCATGTTTCTCCCCAGGCCCAATCATTTCATAAGCCAAAGAGTTATCTACTGCATCACTTAGGTCATAGATTACAAAAGGCTTTAGCGTTGAAAGTGTTGTTCAGATGACCTATGAAGGCTTTATGATTAACGTGTCAATCTCAGAGAAGATACATCTAAGTTATATAAATGCACATCTAACGTAATCTGATCTTTTTATCGAAGAAATTTTTCTCATTATTTGCTTTTCATTCTATCTCTTTAACACAGATCATCAATGAATATCCTTATTCCATCGAAACTGAAATATAATAATAAACGAGAGATGAAACGTAGTCAAAATGAAATTACTTCCTTGAATACTACTACTAATACTATTAATCAACATGATAGTGACACTGTTGAAAGGGATGGCAATGATAACAACACCAATAGCAACAACAACAATACTAATCATGCAAATGAAGGTATTATCGATCATAGCAAGGCTGACAGTCAAACGGATGACAGTGAAATAAGTCTCACATCTCTAAGTGAAATGGAATCAGAGTATGGTCAAGTAGCACAGGAATCAAAACTCATCAACAACAGTAAGACGAGACCAATGAAGTTAGTCAATATTGACTAAAGTTTTGCATTTTGCTTATCGTGAATGATGTTTGAATTATGTGTTTCTATGTTTGCTATTCCCTGAGTTAATTGTCATGAGGTAAGCATGTTGAGTAATTTCGAGTAAGCTCAGTAAAAGGACAAATATTAGAATAAAAATTCAGTTTAATGCAATGATGGTGCAACAGTATATTATAAAAATAAAATTAATTAATTAGTTACTTGGTTATACAGTTAAGGTCCTCTGCTACAAATTAATAATATAGTCCACGATGTTGTTCCTAGGTAGACTAATTGTGATGAAGTTTCTGTGGCAACTTTGCTTACAGAGTGGGATTGCAAGCCTCACGCCTGAGGAGCGAGCTATTACATGCATATATGTAGTTTACAGTGGAATGAATTTATGGGTTAATCCCCTTACAATCAAGAAAACAAGGAATAAAGCAATCAGAACAGCATCAGGCACAGGAAACAGAATTCACAACAGGATGGGCAGGGACAATAAGAATCAAAAAAGCCTTAGCAGTAGTATCATTGTTAAATACAGTTAACGAAAATGATATCAAAACCATAAACTCACTGACTTGGGCCGACTTAGACATGTAAATTCAACAATATATACAATTAGTTCGACTGGCAAGAAACGCCAGAGAGATAAGAGTTTTATGTAACTTAGCTAATGTAACGCAGTAATCGAAAAGTGCGGCAATAGTGTACACTGTTGGAATCGTGTCTACTGGTAGAAGCTGGGCAGCGGTTGCAGAATAGTCTTCGGATGAGGAGGATTAGAGGTTCCTGCAAAAATCCACAGTATGCAACACGGTTAGTAGTGGAACAAGTAGACAGTATAGACTGGTGAGAAGACGAAGCGGTGAGCAGTACACTATATTTTAGATTGTACTTCACAGTTATGTACATTTCAACATGAATCGCTTTGAACAAAGGTTGTGTATAAGGTTTCTGTTTTTAACATCTAACAAAACAATAAACAATTGTGGTGAGAGCTGTCCGCTAACCAAAATTGGTAGACAGCAATTCACATCACTTTTTACGTTCCAAATCTTGGTCATGAGAAAAAACCAGAACAAAGCCTAACCTTGAGGCACTCAATAACCAATGACAGCAGATTTAACGTGGGTGGATACGATTAGCAGATATATTAACAGACTGTCTAAGAAACGGCAATAAAAAGATGACTGAATAACCTTCAGTAGAAAAACAACCAATCGGAAGACGCTGTTTCTCTGCTAACAATAATCTATAATAATGGAATGTATATAAAAATCTATAAATACCTGTTGATTTTCTCCATAAAGAATCTGTTGTCTGGCCCTTATCTTTTGTTGTTACACAATCGTATTGCTACAGACTCCATTTGAGAGTAATGTATTGGGAGCGGGAAATTAAATAATGAATAATTATTATTGATCTCACTATTCACTAATATATAGAATACCAACCAAAACCCACTCATTATGGTCAGATAGTAGGAAACCGATCTATGCATTCTACTGTATAGCTGAGAGAACCTCTTTGAAATAAGCGCAGACACGAAGCATCCCAAAGACAGCAACAAAGAGACGATTGTTCGCAGATGGAATCTGCGTTTGGTCCCATACAACAACAATGGAAATGCATCGAAAACTCAGAATTACTTCAACAGTGTCGTTGATAGCTCTACAGTCTAGTCTAAGTAAAAAATGAGCACTTAGAATCAAGTGAGGTGTTCCCAAAAAGGTGGATTCGAAACTTCTGTCAGTAAGGATCAAGCACCAACGATTTTCTGTGGACAATTCAATTTCAGAAGTGACATTTGTTCATTTAGACAGTCACATCGTTAAGCAACACATTATCAATATGTCATACAACCACAAAGAGAGGCATTAAAATTAGAGATTAGACTGCTACAAAGTTAAATAACAAGGATCAAACCAACATGTGATATGCAAACGTCATTACGATGAGGTACAGTCCTGGAGAGAAACAAATAATAACAACAGTATTAGTTGAAACAACTGTCAATATATTGATCAGATAATCCAATGAGAATCTCCCAAACAATCTTATCGTTACAAATAATTTGCCAAAAGACATATATACCGATAGTTGAATATCAATGAGGTGCTCACTAGTGACTAGCCTTATTCAGGTAGACAGTTACCAGGAGTGATAAAGTAGGGTACGGTAGGTCGGGTGTGAGGACAGACACTCACCACCTATGACATTGGCTGGTGCTCGTGCTATGTCATGAATTGGCAGAAGTTGGGATTCATGGACGTAAGAGCTGTCCTTGTAACCAGAAGTTATTGGGTTCAAACCTCTACGGATGCATGCTGATGAAGAGTCCCAAAATACGACGAAACGGTGGTCCTCTAACCGATGTCAGTTCATGATGAAATCCTGAAACATATCGAGATTACTGGAATCGCTTCAATGCGGTATCGAAGTGATGGATATTGCTGATGAATAGGATGAAATTATACCAAGTTTTGCTGTGACTTCTGTATTTACTGGTATTCCTATATATCATTCGCGATGGAATATGAATTTCGAGAACAATTTAGAAACATTGGCCTAATGTTCACTATATATATATATATACAGAGAGAGAGAGAGAGGAAGACATCAAAGACCTAGAACTTTTCCCTAAAACTATATACTACTGACTGATTAAGATGAGCAGTTGCATACAACTCATATCAACCTGTAATATTTGTTGCCTAGCCAAATGGAGGTTATCTAAACATCATACGGCAATTTGCTCACTTTGGGCAGATCTCATCATCCGTATACCTGAAGGGGTCTGAGTCAGCTCAGACATACGAATCAGTTGAAACCACCAAATTTCTGTCTAGCTACTTAGTCGAACTGGTCATACTATGAATCAATCTGCAAGTTGGTATGCAATTTTCAATCTACGCAGTTAGAGTGAGACAATTTCTACCTAGTTTCCGTTGAAAAACAATTTGCACATTTTGAATTTGACTTGGCTCAAAACTTTGTTTAGATTCTGCATATTTTACCTTTAAAGACAAACGGAGTTGTAAAAGGATCATCACCAATGTCTCCAGTTGTAGCAAATCCCTATATGAAAGCTCTGTAAGGAAGAGCATTGAGTAATGTTATTTTGCATCCTAGAGTATGGTACAGATGCTAAGACGGCACATTAATTATTGTTAGGTAGCCTGAAAAAGAAAACTTCCTGGGGCAGATTAACCTTTATTTCAAAATGTATAGGGTTTTCTAATGAAGCAGAATTGGATGAGGGAAGTCGAAAGACCAACTTATCTGAAATTCTTACTTGATCATTCAACAGAGCTAGAAACATTATAACAGATAACGATAATATGGAGAATGAGATTTTCGATGTGAAAATGATTTTGATTGGAAGTGGTTATATTAAAAAAGTCTCTAAATAACATCATCAAAAGAAAGGTCAAGGGGGGGGGGGGAAGAAAACTAAAAAATCTTGGATTTCACTGGTGGCCATTCTGTATAGAAAAGACATGGCTGAACAACCTTCGAAGGAATATATGCTTCATATGGTGTTAGCGAATGTTTCATGCCGTCTATTTCTTCCTAGAAACCTTTAGTTAGTTTCACAGATGTATTCTCCAAAATGAAGCAAAATAATTATGTTTATAGGATGAAAATGTTTCCGAATATGAGACATTTTATATAGGGGAAAAGCTGTATACAGGTGAAAGTCAGAGTAAATGAAAACTCCGCCTAGAAATGAAGTAGAAAGAAAGAGTCTTAAAATAAGTTGCGCTTTAGTAGGGCATAGCATAGAAAGCGATTTGGATAGTATCAGAATTCTAGGAAAAGACTTTCATCTGCATACAGAAAGGCTAACCTCTGAAGCCTTGTATGTCTTAACTACATCGACTGAAGTAAACAGACGAGAGAATGCATAGACTTGTCACTTATATGACAGACTCTCATGAAGTTAGGCAGATGAGAGAAAATACAGAAATGTCTAACCATGTCTTGTGACCTCTGTGAAATTATTTTCATGTCGTGTTTTTCAACGCCTGCATCTGAACATCTTTTCAAGAGTCGATTTGAAAGGATTAGATTTGTTTTACAAGTTTGACTATGGATTGATTTCAGTCAGAAAGCCAATAAAAACTAGGGAGCACTGGGCAGTTGTGTCATCCCACTAGTTCGAGACTCACTAGGCTTCGAACCCAGGACCTTTCAGTTACAAGTTAAGTTCGTATACCATTCAGCCAAACAGAGGACCCGATTCAGCGTACCATGAATTCTGACTTCTACCTACCTTTTTCCAAAAAAAATTTTGTATCGTCCTATTGCCCATGATCTCTGTTTTTAAATTTCTTCATAGATCAAAGGAACATGGAATTCAACTGCTTCAACTGAACAATACAATTTCACAATTATCTGAGATTCAGTCATCGTACAATATGTTAAATCAAAGAAATAATTCTCTAATTCAACAAGTAAGTCTAAAAGCAGCATAAGTAAATGAAATAATCTCCTTCTGTGAATAATGAATAGCCGCGGAATCCATCATTATTTAAGGTACGTCAATGCCTGTGATCCTCGATGAGTGATGGATGATGTTCCCACATGCGACTGGAACTTTACACACTCATTGTTTGAAACGTCAAAGCATTATTCACCAAGGCATTATGATTGTTTTGAGGTCTTGATTCGATTCTCAGCTGGAATAACATTATTCAATAGGAATACGGGTGTATCAGGCCGATGAGTCAAAAATATAGTGAAATATACTCTCAGCATACCAACAGGTTTTGTGGTTGGTTGTGAGATCAAATAATCTTTATAGTGATTTCTAATCCCAGCTGATGAGATGCAAGACAGGTGAGAGTTGTGAATAGAGAGTCAGGTGTTGAGAGTCAGACATTATGGTTTAAGACCATTTCTCATATGAGTTCAGGTGCCTGTTGAGTTCATTAGTAACGGGCTGGCTGACTTTGTGGGACACTACCTGCCCTACTGACAACCTTCAGTACCCTTCGCAATATAACATAGTCCTTTTTGAGTAGCTCAGGAAAGACTAAGGAGGGAGCAATAACGAATAATCGGTAAGATATAAGGGTTAGCAAACTATAAACCTGGAGGTTATGTGATTCCTGAGTGTTTTAACTTCCTACTGTAGAGAGTTAGACGAAACATTTTTACTAGAAATCAACTCGTAGATGTAGGAAAAAGACGTAAGCAGCGAAGAAAATTTTCTTTTCGACGATTTATTTTTATGAGATATTCCATCACAATTATATTTAAGAAGGAAATCATAAGACCGATCAGATACTCGTAAAATTCGTCCTCGAAAAATATATTACATATTGTAAGGTGTAAGAAGGGGTGACTAATTGGAAGTTAGAAAAGAGACAGAATTTGTCATGACCTAATGAGTGTGAGATAATGACTAATCAATAAGCTAGTGTAGAATGGACAACAACTAATGGAAAGGCGATAAAGTGTTTCTACATAAAATCTGTATGAAAAAGCAATGTTATTATAAAAACAGTAATAGAGTGGTTATAAAAATGTGGATGATAGGAATAGTAATAATAATAGTAGTAAACTTACATAGTAAAAAAATAAGAAGCAAGATTATAGTAAAAACTTCGGTTGTGTACAGATAGCATATGCGAACTCCCTTTGTACGATATCGAGGGACTTTGTGTAGCACTGTAAAACATTCATGCAAGTGGGCGTGCTCGATACCCGGAGATGACAAGGTGTTCGAGTATAGAGCTGCTACTATTCTTCTTTTCCCCTCTATCTGGCCAGCCAAACTCCACAGTGTTCCAGAATACGTTTGTCGACTTGATGTTGCGTACGGCCGATATACGTTGCTCCACACGAGCAAGTAAATTTATAAATACACACTGAAGTGGTCAAAAGCGATATCTTATCCTTAACGTTTGACTGGATTAATTGTCTGCTGGAGAATGTGATACGTAAGATGCCTACTTCAAATGTCTTCTTCACCTTTGATGACTTATAATTTCTTTGTTAAATATAATTACGATTGTACAGCAGCTTATGAAAATAAATCGTCGAGCAGAAAATTTTCTCCGCTGATTACGTCTTTTTCTTAATACTCAATATGGGAATATTTCTTTATTTGAAGAACAACATATAGAATGAGCAAGAAAGTTTGCAAGTTAAAAATATTCTGTCTTTTAAGTATGAAAATTGTTGTAGCAAATTTCTTTTCTTGTATATTGTTCTTCTTTCACCTAGTATCAAGCAATGCGTACAGGAAAACTCAAAGCTGAACAGTTGAATAAAGATTTAAACAATTTAATCGAATCATTAAGTAATGCATTACGTAGAAGTAAAAGACAAAATCTTCAATCTAAATGTATCATTGAGGTAAGTAAGTCTTTGACCTCTGTAAAGCGAATTAACCATGGTTTTCAAGTATTGTTTCTCAAGGATTTGATTGGATTGGTTAAAGGATTTCATCATAAGCTGAACTGGGTTATAGAACTATTGGAAAACCACAAGGGAGTACTGGAAAAATGTTTTGTTCCAGTCTTCTGGAACTCTTCATCAGTACACACCCATCGATGTTCGAACGCAGGACTTTCCGGCTAAATATTGAGCTAGTAGAACATTAAGCCACTGGGAACCGATCCAACAGCTCATAAATTTAGGTAGGCAGTAGCTTGGGTTCTAGTAGGAAGTGGTGACCATTGGCGTACAACATGTCAGGTGTGAAGACAGATGATACTACGCAATGGTTGCCCTATATCATGAATTAGCAGAAGATGGTGTTGATAGACCACTCGGTAGGGTTCCAGTGGCTGATTGGTTGACGAGCTCACCTTTACGTGGTACTGATGAAGAATCCCGAACTATTGCGAAACAGTTGTCAACTACATCCGTGATTTCCAAAGGTTCTCTAACCGATTTCATTTCATGACAAAATCCTGTAACCATGGTTTTCTTATTGTATTCATTATTTGAAAGGCTAACTATTTTCCACTGTATGTCCCATGTCATTCAAATGTCTGGCTACTGTACCTGAGAATACTTTCCTGTCTTTCATAAGAAGACATTTGGGGAAATGCTAAGAAAATCTAGTAGTTATCCTTCTTTTAGCTCTTCCAATGTTCTTGCTGCCGCAAGTGCAGTTGAACTGGTAGATGCATTTGAAGTTGACATGAGCAGACTACTTATCTACTTTTGATTGAGTTAACTAGCATACCGTGTTTTAAAGTTCAATAAGTCTGGTAGCAGGAAATATTCTTTTCAATGCAGCTTTGATTCCTTTCTCGGTTCTTGTGCATACTACTTCCCCAGACAGTTAAGTAACTGGTTTCGAATCAACTGTTTCAGGTTTCAGTCTAGGCGTTGATTTCTTACTTACATATTTTAATATGGACTTTCGGCAATCGCAAATTCTTCTTCAGTCTTATTTTTCTGAATACAACACCATGTCTACGCTGAACAGTGATTTTACAAAACTCATTTTATAGCCGATTGGACAAAAGATGTGATAACTTAGGCATTGTCTGGTCCGATTTTCTCTTCTATAGACAGATATTTTAACTGTGCCATCATTTCTACTTCTTTTGTTGGTATTCAAGAAGGGGAACATAAAGTAAACCATATTTTCTCTTTCTTCTCATTTCATTACTTCGAAGTGGAACGAAGTTGGACTTTAGCCTTCGATCTTTGAATTTTCATTAGCTGCAATGTTGTTTTTACAGTATGGGGTTGTAAACTCAACGCCTAACCTTCCTATGTTTCATCACTTTCTATCAGACAGTAAATTAAATTACATTTAGGAATGGCCAGGGCAGGGGATGAAATCCGACTCCATGCATGAGTTTAGCATTGTCTAATATTTGTATAGGTGATATGTATCCACATATATATATTTATGTGTGTGTGTGTGCATGTTGGTCTCTCTTTCTGTTTGCTCGGTTAGTCTGTGACCATTTCACTTGTGTGAACTTGTCTCCTTTAATAATGTATATTCTCCTTATATTATATTATATATAATATGAGTGTTTGTTGACAGTCCGTCGCTCGGTGACATATATCCATATATGGTGGTTGTTGACATGTCTGCTATATTTCGCTATGTATATATGGATCGACACTTCATTATAATTAGCCATTCATATTAAGACTGTCTAATGATTTGTTCCCACGCTTTGTCTGGAACATTCATATATATTTCGCATTCACAATCTTGTGACTTTACTTTACTTACTTACCACTTTGGTGTGAGACCATTTATTTTTCGTCTCCTTGTGTTTGGACAATAGAAGTATCATAGCAAACCTAGTGGTCTTCTGATTTCTGCCTTCTCGCGTTAGGACTATTAGTTTCTCGACCAGTCCATAACAATAATTTAGCGACGAGTACATAACAATTTGGCGACGGGGAAAACTAGTACATAACAATAGGATTCTTTGTCAACCATTTGATTTATATTATTATCTTTATGTTACTCGTCTGCATTTATCGTGTAGTCTTCTATGTCCATTATTAACCTTATTCTTGCTTTATCAACTGGCAGTATAACTTAGTCCTTCCTATTCTTGAGATTCTTCATAAAAAGTATTTCCTCTTTTTTTCTCTACTATTATGGTTGTGGTACATCACATTGAGGATAGATAATCTAAGGTCATCCCGACGTTGAACTGCTGACAGAGGTCTGATCCCATCTTACTGGGGAATATTCGACTCAATTCTGAGCTACTTCTTAACAACTGAACTTTGGTTAACTGATTTTGTCCTACAAAGCATATTTTGTCATAATTTGTTTCCCTTGGGCTCCGACAAGGAACGCAAGGCTTCAACAACACATCTCCACTTTGCCCTATTCTCTTCTGTCTTCTTCATATGAGTCTACGAGTGACCACAATCTCTCATCTCCTCCTCACAAAATCTCCTCAGTGTCACTATCGTATTGACGACCCAATCGTAGCTTCCTATTTGCATTCCACTCTAGTGATGCCTCCAATGCGCTTATGTCATTCGACGACATCCTCATTTTCTTCTGCTTACTTGTAGAGAGATCGGCTCTTGGTTGGTTTGTTCCCAGCTAGAGTTTCTTATCGCTAATTCTTTCAGACTGGTAATCTGATCTTCAGTATAGAGCCAGCGAAGTCACCTGTTGATAAAAGTCTGTTACCTATTGGGAACCTATTTTTGCATGACACACCTGCCACGTTTCTGATCCATATAGAAGAAATGACTGACTGACTTCACAGTGGTGTTGGACAGAATCCGAAAGTCTTGTTGTTTATGCTGGCTGGCTGACTGGCTGAGTGAGTGAGTGAAGTAGAAGATTTCAAAACTGGTTTCAGGTTGATGAAGGCATATCTTGCCTTTCTAATTCTACTTGGATGTCTTTATCCTGAATGCTAACTTAATTCCTGCTTTACTAAGAACCCTACTAAGGGTCACATCGTATTATATTTTATTGATAACGCTAATATTATTCCCGAATGTACTTCATCTTCTTTTCTGTTTCATGGATGTCTGTTGGACATTGTATTGATTTTCATTCTTATGTGTTGTCAATTTTTACTCATGTATGTAAATGAAGCAAGAAAGTTGTGTGAGTGATGTCTTGATGTGATTATGATTGGTGATAAATTGTCCTGGAAACCTCATCAGTAAATATTACCGTATAACACATTGTGTGATTTTATCAAAAGAAATTGCTAAGCTACTAGCTTACTAGTTTTCTAGCCGGTCCCAAGCCCGGGTAAAGAGGGAGGGTTGGGGCGTGGTGCTAGCAACTCCACCCCTGTAAAACAACCAAATCGCTACAGAAACTTCAACGAATAAATATATTAAAAATTCTAAAAACATAAGCAATAGCCTTACTTTTCGCTGGAATCGGGGAAGTGAAATGACGCAGGCTGGTGAAAGCCTTCGGGAAGCCAGTCAGCCGATGTGCCTTCTTTCGATGAAAGCAAAAGTAAGGATGGGTACCTGGAATGTTCGTACAATGTACGAAACTGGAAAGGCTGCCCAGATAGCCGCTGAAATGAGAAGATATGGAATGAATAGAAGTGTTGGGAATCTGCGAAAGCAGATGGAACGGAACTGGAAGGTGCCAACTACCTACTGGAGAGACAGTAATCTATTCCGGCCACACAGAGGACAACCACGAGCACACCGAGGGAGTGGCCATCATGATGTCACCAACAGTAGCCAAAGCTCTCATGCAGTGGGAACCAATCTCCTCCAGGATAATGACAGCCAGGTTCAACTCAAAAGGAAGGAAAGTTACAGTCATTCAATGCTATGCGCCTACAAACGTCTCAGAACAAGAGAAGAAGGAGGCGTTCTGACAACTACAAACAATAATGGACAACGTCCCAAATGGCGATATCAAAATCCTGATGGGCGACATGAATGCGAAGCTGGGACGAGACAACACAGGAAGAGAACTCACCATGGGTCGTGAGGCCCTCGGTGAAATGAACGACAATGGTGAACTCTTCTCAGACTTCTGCGCCTTCAATGATTTGGTGATTGGTGGCAGTGTTTTCAAACACAAGGATATACACAAGACGACATGGATTTCACCAGATGGAAACACCAAGAACCAAATAGACTTCATCTCAATTTCAAGAAAGTGGAGACGGAGCCTACTGGACACAAGGTCAAGGAGAGGAGCAGATGTGGGTTCAGACCACTATCTAGTACAAGGGACTTTCAAGGTGAAACTAAAAGCCTCGAGGATAGCTGGGGATAGGCCACAATGCAAGTTCAACACTCAATTACTGAAGGACACAACCACAAAAGACACTTTCACTGCAACTGTCAGAGCAAAGCAGGAAACACTACGCGACATCACTGAAGAATCATGCGTGGAAGAACATTGGAAGTCTCTGAAGGCGATTCTCAACGAAACGTGTTCAACGGTTCTAGGAAGAAAGAAGAGACAAGACAAGGAATGGCTCTCAACGGACACTTGGAAATTAATAGAAGAGAGGAGAATGGTGAAAGAGAAAATGATTCAATGCAAGGACGGACAGGAGAAGGAGACGCTGAGCTCAACTTACAAAGCACTGGACAAAGAAGTGAAAAAGAGTGCTAGGAAGGACAAAAGACGATTCTACGACAACCTCACCACTGAAGCTGAGAAGGCAGCAGGCAAAAGGGACCTGAGGACACTATATCAGATAACCAAATCTCTATCCGGGAAGAGATCAACACAAGCGAAACCTATAAAAGACAGCCAAGGGAACCCAATTACCAAGGAAGAAAAACAGATTAAACAATGGGCGGATCACTTCAAAGGACTCTTGAACCGACCATCACCTGCAACCCGTCCAGAAATACCAACAACAGCGCGCACACAACTGCAATCCTCCAACGAAGCTGAAGTCTTGAATGCAATCAAGCTTCTGAAAGCTGGAAAAGCAGCCGGACCAGATGGAATACCCCCTGAAGCACTGAAAGCGACCCAGAGACTACAGCAGACATGCTGACTCCATTATTGCAAAAGGTCTGGAAGGAGGGAAAGGTGCCTACTGACTGGAGGAAAGGTTACCTCGTGAAACTACCAAAGAAGGGCGACTTACGCCTCACTCTGCAAGAACTGGCGAGGAATCATGCTCCTATCGACGCCAAGTAAAATCCTGAGTCGCATCATCCTGGAGAGATTAAAGGACGCACTGGAGACAGAACTCCGACCAGAACAAGCTGGATTCAGGAAAGGCAAATCATGTACTGACCAAATTGCAACTCTACGCATCATCATCACAGAACAAAGCATGGAATGGCGATCAAACCTCTACCTCAACTTTATAGACTTTGAGAAGGCCTTCGACAGCGTTGACCGCGAAGTAATTTGGAAATTACTCGAGTACTATGGCGTACCCCAAATATTCATCAACCTTATTCAACAGCTGTACGACAACGGCACATGTCAAGTGATCCACAACGGAAAACTCAGCAAGGCGTTTGGAGTAAACACAGGAGTCAGACAAGGGTGCTTACTATCACCAATGATATTCCTAATTGTGGTGGCTGACTGGATTATGCGTCAGACAGTGGGAAACGAGAAGACAGGAATATCCTGGACCGACGTGAAGAACCTAGAAGACCTGGATTTCGTGCGTGGATGATTTATGTTTGATGTCACACAAAATCGAAGACTTACAAGCGAAAACCGACAAACTGGTCGAAGAAGCAGCAGAGACAGGACCACTATTGAGCATAGACAAGACGAAGGCGATGAAAATAACCAACCAACAACAACAGCAGCAACATCCAACGTCAATCACCATCAACGGGGGTTATTTGAAAGAGGTTACTTCATTCACTTATCTAGAGGGCATTGTCTCAGCTACAGAAGGAACGGACGACGATGTCAAATCGAGCGAGAATCGGGAAGGCGAGAATCACATTCATCAACCTGAAATCAATCTGGAAATCTTCATCACTCGGCATCACCAACAAAATTCAGATTTTCAATACAGACGTCAAGTCGCTTCCTCTATAGGGATCAGAAATTTCGCGGGTCACAAAGAATATTTCCAAAAAGCTGCAGACCTTTATTAACAACTGTCTTCTCTCTATGCTGAAGATCAGATGGCCGGTAAGAATCATCAACAAGGAATTATGGGAACAAACAAAGCAAGAACCAATCACCCAACAAATATGCAGAAGAAAGTGGAGATGGGTTGAACACTCGCTGAGGAGACTGCTGGGTCACATCGCGCGTCAAGCCCTCGAGTGGGAAGCGGCGTGTGGGAGGTCCAAGGGAGACATGGAGAAGATCGTGTGAAGAGGAGCTGAAAGAATATGTACTAACATGGATGCAGGAAAAAAGTACAGCAGAGGACAGAAGCAAATGGAGACGTGCAGTTGAAGCACTATGTTCCACTAGGAACCCAAAGGAGCAATAAAATAATAATAATGCAGACTCATTATTATTATTATATCCTTTAATTCCAAGAGGAACAGAGGGCTTCAGCTGCGCAACTCTATTGCCTTCGGTTTTCTGCCAACTTTTTCACCCCGCTCCAATTCCGTCCACATGCTTTCATCTCCTCTTCAAATGACCTCCTCCAAGGCACCCTCGCACCGACGACCAACTCGCCGCTTCCCTTTCGCGTTCCACTCGAGCAATGGCTTGTCTAGTGATGTCACTCACTTGACGGTTTCCTCAGATTATGGCCAATCCATTTGCATTTCTTCCTTCCTATTTGTTTCACAATCGGTTCCTGTCGGGTTGGTTCGCTCCTAAAGATCCCCGTTTCTGATATTTTCTGGCCATCTGATCTTGAGTATTGAGCGAAGACAACTGTTAATGAAGGTCTGTAGTTTGTGTTGAGATGCTCTTTATGACGCGCTGGCCAAGTCTCTGATCCGTCTAGCAAGTAGCACTGACTTCACATTGGAGTTGAAAATCCGGATGTTATTTTTGATGGTGAGTGACGTCGACCTCCACACAGACTTAAGGGTAATGAAAGCTTGTCTTGGTTTTCTAATTCTTGCTTTGATATCCTCATCAGTCCCGTCCGACTGTAGTTGAAACGATGCTTCCCAGGTAGGTGAAGGAGGTTCCTCCCATTTATTCTGACTGTCGTCTGTTGTTGTTGTTGCTGTTGGTGTTGGCCAGGAATCTTCATCACCTCTGTTTTATCTATGTCCACCTGGAGTGAAGTCCTATCTTTGATGCTTCTTCTGCAAGCTTGTTGCGTTTCACTTGCATATCTTCCAGTTTGTGGGAAACCAGACATATATCATCGGCGAAGTCCACATTCTCCAAGAATTTTGTGTGAGTCCATTTTATGCCTGTTTCCTCATTGGCCTTTAGACAAATATGCAAGTAATGTAGGTTTTGCAAAACACAAAACAATTACTGTGAAAAACAAATGGTCGACTGAACATTAATTGTAAGAAATACCTGGGAATCAAGTACAATATGCTCAGTAAGGTCGGGTCGGGTAATCTGTCCATCAGAATCAAACACCAAAAAATGCCAGGACACTGTCCAAGAACAGAACGATCTACATTCACTCAGACGAAATCACATCATAAGACAACACATTATGAGTGTATCGAAGACCCATAAATAGAAGTATTCATATTACAGAATAAACAGGAACAATGACAAATAATATGGATTAAGTCAACATATCTTTTCATCTTGTTTGCGATCTGGGCAGCTTTTCCAATCTCATACATAGTGCGGACGTTCCATCAGAGACTTGGCCAGCGCGTCATAAAGAGCATCTCAACACAAACTACAGACCTTCATTAACAGTTGTCTTCGCTCAATACTCAAGATCAGATGGCCAGAAAATATCAGAAACGGGGATCTTTAGGAGCGAACCAACCCGACAGGAACCGATTGTGAAACAAATAGGAAGGAAGAAATGCAAATGGATTGGCCATAATCTGAGGAAACCGTCAAGTGAGTGACATCACTAGACAAGCCATTGCTCGAGTGGAACGTGAAAGGGAAGCGGCGAGTTGGTCGTCGGTGCGAGGGTGCCTTGGAGGAGGTCATTTGAAGAGGAGATGAAAGCATGTGGATAGACTTGGAGCGGGGTGAAAAAGTTGGCAGAAAACCGAAGGCAATAGAGTTGCGCAGCTGAAGCCCTCTGTTCCTCTTGGAATTAAAGGATATAATAATAATAATAATAAATAATATTGATTCGTTGGAAACCAGCAGGGAGTACTGGAAAACTGTCTCCTTCCTCGTTAGTGCGAACCCTCCAGGATCAGAATCGTGGACCTTCTGATTGAAATTGTTCCTAGAATATGTAGTCACCGGTACTCGGACCAATGGCCAGCCCATGCTTTCTAACTTCTACCATTTCATGATTTCACTTTTCACCAACCATAATGGTACATAAAATTTTATGCTCTGATTCTACAATGAAATTCTCCTTCTTGGTGTTTGCTTCACTTTATTTTTCAGAGTCTTAAAAAATATTTCTATGAAATTATTGAAACTATAAAGCAATTTAATGAAGATGGAGGTAATCCTACAAAAGTTACGGATGCGCCTAATAAAGACATTATCCCAGTTGATGGCAACGCTACCAAAGTGAGTGATTTAAGCAGAGATATTTTCTTCTTGTAACAATATACTTTTAAGTAAGTGAAGGAAGGCAGATAGATGATAATGAATCTCTGAGGATAACTATTGTTTTTTCAACATCTTTTCAAGAATCAGAAATTGTTCCTCTAATTTATCTGTAGAACATATTCTCGCTTATAGCTATGTGCACAAAAACTATTAAAATGCAAGTATCGCAAAATCGGTACTTCGGTGGCACAGCTGTTGGGACGCTCCCCAACCATGCACATGGTACGGCTCTCTATCCCCAGCCGACGGATTCCTTCACCTCGCTAAGCCAGTAATAAAAAGAAGCTAGTGAAGAGGAAAGGTTGGACATGAGGCTGGCCAGCAACCTCATCATGTAAAAATAATCAGCACTGCTACAGAAACTACAGGCCTCTAACTTGAGGCCCTATATTCCACTGGGGAACGTGAAGGAAAAGAAGAAATCGCGTATTTCATGTTGACTTTGTGTGAATTGACCTTCCAAGACTACTATCTTCCAGGTGTTTCACGGTAATGTCAAGGGAATGAAGATCTCCATACTTTTTGTGTTTCATAGTAAATTTAATATTTGTGTGTGCACCGTTGAATAATCCGAGTAGGTAGCATACATGACTTTCATTAATGCACACTCCAAATATGTCATCTACATAACAGCAATAAGAAGTTGCATGGCGAATTTAAGGCTTCATCTTTGTTCTTTCAAGGCTGGACATGAATATATCTGCTAAAACAGGCCTGAGTGGACTGCCTATAGCTACACCATATATTTGGCGGTAACGTGTGTTATTAAACTGGAATTGTATATCCACGGTGCATTTGAATTCCAGCACTTGGAGGGTTGAAAGATCAGAATGTTAACAAGTGATATGGATAGTTTTATTGATGAGGATCCTCGTGAGCAAGGAGGTTACATTAAACGATACTTGGTTCAGGCTTTGCTTTAGTCTTCTACATTGTGAGTGGAACACAGACCTTCAAGCTAGAGCTTTTACATTTCAGAAGCAATGGGTTTTGTTTTATTTTGACGGGGTAAGGTTGTCGGTCATCATTCACTCTTCACTCTTTAGCTGGATTACTACCTGCTAGGCGAGGTTTAGAAGTTCGTCCATGACTGTGGATCGAACTCTTAACCATTTGAGGTATGGTTGGCTTATATTTTACCACTACATCATCAACGGATGAGCTCATTATACTAAGGGATATGATATATCCTTGTCCATAAAGTGCTATCTTTAAAAAAATATTTTTCCTTGATTTTTCGACAGAAATTTTTGAAAGAATTCTCTCATCAGATTCATCAACAACTTCAAGAAGCCTTGATTAATAAGAAAAGTGAATCAGTAGCTTTAAAGACAAAACTTACTATTCATGAAAATGAAGCTAAACGTCGACGTAAATGTATTGAAGAATTACGTCTACGCCTACAAGATATTCATCAGGATAAAATAAATCTTCGAAATGATTTGGTAATTCTATTTGTATAACTTTAATATTGGCATTTTATATGTTTATACAAAAAACATTCCCAATTAGACACTTAGAAAGCAAAATGTAGCTGTGAAGCCGGCTACATTAGGCGTGTATTTAGGCAGGTTTGTCACCGTATGGAGGTCAGCAGCACTCAGCATGGAAAATAAGATCCAGAATTTAAACTCCAATGTGATATCAGTGCTACCATATACGGATCAGAGAGTCGGCTCAGCATCACCAAGGGCACTTCAAACAAACTACAGACTTTCATCAACATCTGTCGTCACTCAATACTACTCAGAATCAGACCGCAGGCCAGAAAAGATCAGCAACAGGGAGGGATCTCTGGCGGTGAGCGAACCAACCCAGCAGGAACCAATTGTGCAAGAAATATACGCAGGAAGAAATCGAGGTGGATTGACCATACTTTGAGAAAACAAACCATCAAGTGACGTCTCACACCAAGCCATTCCTCGAGCGCTATCCGAAATGGAAGTGGCGAGATGGTCATCATTGCCAGGGTGATATATGGAGGGGGTCATCTGAAGAAGAGATGTTGGCAGACGTGGAGCCAAGTGAAGATGTTGGGAGAGAACCGAATTCAGTGGAGACGTGCGGCTGAAGCCCGATTTTCCTCTAGCAACTAAAGGAAACAATAATAATAATAATAATAATGATCACCGTGTTTCCGAGCATCATCCAGTATGATTAAGCAAGGGATAAACAAGATCTATTTGTAGCTATGTTTCAGCGTATCTTATAGGTAGTGAGCACATAACTGACATTAATACATAATTAAAAATTATTTACCACATTCTTACTGATCTTAATTTTGGTCTGCGAGCTCGTCTTCTGCAAAAAGCCGAAGCCATAGAAGTCCACCTGAAGTAGCCAAATCTGTGTGTTCAGAATAAAAGTTCATACAACCCCTTCCCTTACCATAGTCATCGTTACATGAATGTATAAACTGCACTACTTCGCTCCCTCTTCCCTAAGCCTTTTAAAAATTGTCATTGTCCAAATTACTGTATTATTTTATCTAACTACTTCATTCTGAATTACAAGTTACCATTGATCAGATCGTTTTATTTTTCTTTAATAATCTGTTTCGTAATCAATTTGAACTCTCGCTTATTCCTTAATAACTCTTCATTCTTCGGAAATTATGCATTATGCAATCCACTTGTTCCAGACATTTCTACACTTTAATTGTGTGTATTAATTCTCTCCGTTAAGTATCACCAGTCACCTTAACATGTAGATACTGACTAGTTATTCTTAACAAACACAATATTGCCATGTGATTAGTAAGACGTCGTGTAATACATTAAAAGTGCTGCAGATTTATTTTACAGTAGAGCCAGAGATGACGATCTAATTGAAAAGTGAATATTTCTTCACCCAATTCTTCTGTTTCATGCTTATAATAAATTTGATTGGATGGAGGATTTCATCATGAGCTGACATCTGTCACAGAACCATTGTAATGTCTGGGAGCATTGAACACCTGGTTCGTCCTGGTATGGGACTCCTCAGGAGTACGCACCCACCCCCAGGGTCCAAACTTAGGACCTTTTGGTGACAAGGTTACCGAGCTCATAGACCATTGAGCCACTGGGACCCAATCCAATGGCCAGCCCATGAATTCTAACTTGTGCAGATTCACGACATAGCGTGACCATATCGCAATGTCTTCTTTGATGCGTTACTGCCTCATCTCCAACCTGCTCTACCTTAATGGTCACGGCTTCCCACTAGAACCCCAGGTTAACTGCCTAAATAGGGCCAGTCACTAATAAACCTGGCGCTCTTCACCGGGTTGACTGTCCATTGGATGAAAGTCTAGGGGAGATGGCTAAACCCTGATTCCAAACCTCCAACGACCAGCGTATGAAGCTCACCGGAGCTCACCGGCAGACGTATGGACAAAGGGCTTATTGGATGCCCTGGATGTCTGGCCCCATTCAAAAAGGCATATGAACTGGACTCCGGTCACCGGCTGCCAATGGATAGTGAACTCCCTACTCCACTCCTACTGCCTTGTAGGTCACACTTGGTTGTGTAAAGGCTAGAGCTGCACTCTCAAACAAAAGACCGAGCGATGCTGGGGACATCACTCGTACCTAATTCCCATGAAACTTCATGAACTCTCTACAACATCAACCAAATTCCAGTACTGGTCCAACAACGTCGCCTTCGGTGGTTTGGCCATGTTCTGCACCGATCAGATGACGATCTGGTCAAATCATTTTCAAATTCGTCACCATTTCCATCTTGGCGATGTTGCAGGGGTGGACGGCTGAAAACATGGCTTGGTACAGTCAAGGTTGATATGGAGTGCCTTGGGCTACAAACCATCTACGGACTCCGTCTTTGGAACAAGAATTGGATAACCCTGTCGCAAAACCTTGCATCAGATCGCCGCGCCTGGGCAGCGATGATTCGAGATGTTCATGAAGCCAGCTCATCCTCCAGTAGGAGATAGCCGAAGTAAAGAGAGAAGAGCATCTAAATGATTTTCAAATATTGGTTTTGTAGGGATTTTGTTTGATTTAATGGAAGATGTCATCATGAGCTGACATCAGTTAAAGAATTAAATTTGTCTATTACAGGAAAATAATCGCTTTTGATGGTTGAAGTTGAGTATTTCTTGTGTGATAATAGATTATTTGAGTGGTGGTTGGTTGATGTAATTTGGTGGGTGGTGATGCATATTTCATCCGCTTTGGAACTCGTCATCCAGATGTACATGAGTTAGGGTGTTCCCATCGACACTCAAACCCAGTACCTAACTACTCAAACGACCCATCTGTTATGCAATAATTATCATTTGTTATACTATCACTCTGTTGCCACTAGATTCCATGCTGTTTCAATGCTCTCTTCAGGAATCCTAATTTCTGCTTTGTACACTTACGCATCATAATATATGTGCGGTTGGATATAGTTATCTTCTGTTCCAAATAGGATAACATTAACATAAGTATAGCAATATTTCGAAATTGTTAACTGGATATTCAATAATCTACTCTTGTCGCTTAGACAGTAATCACACACACATTGAGGGAGTAGCTATCATGACATCACCTTCACCATTCTGAAATCACTTTTGGAAATTTTCTGCAGTCAGCATGCGAAAGTAAGAAAATTCGGATTTCTGACACTGATGTCAGGACAGTGAGTCTGTCTGTCTGTCTGTTTTCGACATAGAACTTTGCACAAATGTGCGGAAGTTCAAGTCGCCACACTCCGTGTAGCACGCGAAGCAGGAGAAGAAAGTACAAGAAAAGCATAATAGAAACAGTGAGCAGAGGTGTGAGACAAAGGAGTAATAAAGAAATACAAAACAGTTTCATTGAAGATCATAAGTCACAGGGAGTGGATGCATCTGCGCCACTGAGAACGATTTTGAGCCATGTCACCAATTGTTTCCAACCATAGATTTTTACCGTCCCGAGCACCCCAGCCTGGAAGTCTACACCTTCCTACGTGGCTTAGACCAACTGTGGTGGATTTCATTGACTGATGCCAAGTTTTTGTTTGACCGCCGCTAGCTTTTTTCCAGTCTGACCCTATATCCGCTAACATAGCTCGTCGAGGGAGGCGATGGCTTGGCATACGTAACACATGTCCTAACCATCTCAGTCTTTGTAGCTTCACGACTTCGTCGATTGATTTCCCCTGTTTGCCTAGAACTCTACGCCTAACCTCCATGTTGATACGGGTCAAAAATTTGGCGTGCACATCAAGAAAAGCTTTTACAACAAACCACTGCAAACCTGTACCAACAGCTATCAAGACTCGATACTGATAAATCAGAATCTGCAACAAGAAACTCTGGGGTGAGACAACAAATCAACGAAGAACTTATTGATGAACAAATAAATCCAGGATAATGGAGGTGGATAGCACACGCGATGAGGAGGCCAACGGATGACATCGCGCGCAGTGCAGTACATTGTTTGAATGGAGGCCAAATGGGAAACAAAGAGTTAGGTATGTTCTCGACGGTAAAATGGAGCTAACAATATGTAGAGGAGAAGAGAATCTATGTGCAGAGAGGACAAATGTAGATGTCCTGTTGAAGCTCTATGTTCCACTCGGAACACAAGGAAACTATAATAATTACATTAGTTATGTCGCCATTATTAAAGAGATGTATTATTATTTCCTTCACTTCCTAGAGGAACACACGGCTGCAGCAGTGTGTCTCCATTTCGTTCGGTTTTCTGCTACAGCTTTTGCCTGGCTCCAAGTCATCTCCTCTTCACATGAACTTCTCCAAGTCACCTTTGGATGACGAACTTGCCACTTCCCTTTTGGGTTCCATTCGAGGGCTTTTCTAGTGATGTCACTTGATGGTTTGTTGTTTCAGAGCATGGCCAATACATCTCCATTTCTTGCACAATCGGTTCCTGGTTGGTTCGCTCATTGCTAGAGATCCCTGTTGGTGATTTTTTCTGGCCATCTGATCTTGAGTAATGAGCGGAAAGAGCTGTTAATGAAGGTCTGTAGTTTGTCTGAGGTGCTCTTTATGACTCGCCAGGTCTCTGATCGGTATAGTAAATAGCATTGACTTCACATTGGAGTTGAAAATCCGGATCTTATATTCGTTTTCATGCTTAGTGATGTTCCCCTCCACACAGACTTGAGAGTAATGAAAGCTTGTCTTGCTTTTCCGATCCTTGCCTTGATATCATCAGTCCCGTCCGCCTGTAGTTGAAACGATGCTTCCCAGGTAGGTAAAGAAGGTTGTTTTTTCAGGTTACTCCCATTTATGCCGGCTGATTGTTGTCCGTTGTTGATGTACCTGTTGGTGTTGCCTAGGAATCTTCATCACTTCTGTTTTCTCTATGTTAGCCTGAAGTCCAATGTTTGATGCTTCTTCTGTCAACTTGTTGCTTTTCATTTCCATATCTTCCAGCGTTTGTTGTAAATCAGACATATATAATATCGGTGAAGTCCAGATTCTCCAAGTTTTTTGTGTGGGCCCATTTTATGACCGTTTCCTCACTGCCTGGTCCACTGTCTGTCGTATTATCCAGTCTACTGTAATCAGGAAAATCATTGGCGATTATTAAAGAGATATATGCACAATTATTTCTGGTAACAGTATGCCCATCGCAAATGACGCCACATACTCCAGTGCCATTTGTTTTTGCTTTGTATTCAAATTGACAGCAACTGTCGTCAGACACTTTTTCCATTTCATTCACATTTCTTTTTGCAATATTTTATACAGATGAAGAAGGAGAAATTAATTGAAAATTTGAAATTAACTGAAATCAACTTACAGAACACGATAGAAAGTCAACGTACTCAAGTGAAGACACTGATATCTGAGAAGAAACAAATCTCACAGAATTTCAGCCATTTAAAAGAAGCGCATAATCATGTTGTACATGAACTTGATGAATTAAAAGAGAGTTTTTTAAGTTTAAAATTAAAACAACAAGTGAATACAAATCAAACAGATGGTGTGATGAAACAAACAAAAACATTTACGCGTTTATGTGCTGTAAGTACTCTGTTAATTATTCGTAGTATCTTTCTTCTAACTTCAAGTCTGATGGTTAGTAACTATTTTGAAGTTATTCGTGTCGGTTTGTAGAGATTTGGGTGGTTAAAGGGTTTCATCATTAGCTGACATTAGTTAGAGAACCACTGAAAAACCTGGGAATACTGGACAGCTGTTTCGTCCTAGTTTGAGACTCTTAGGCAGTGCGCACCCACCGGAGTTCGAACCCATGACCTTCTAGTTACAAGATGAGCTTGTAGACCATTAAGCCACTGGGACCTGATCTAATGGCCCATGAATTCCAACTTCTTCTAATACGTAACGTAGCGCGACCCATAGACAATGTCTATGGCAAGTATTTGTCCCCAAACTAAACTTGCTGCACCCTACCGGCCATGAATTCTCACTAGAACCTACCTGAATAGGGCAAGTCGCTAGTGAGTCACTGTGTAGTAACCAATCTTTGGGTTGAATACTATCGGTCAACTTCTCAATGCGGTCATCTTGCTAATTAACTGACCACTATTATGCAATTTGAACTGGTGTAATTAGATGGTTAGAGTTAGTCGGTAAGAAGCCTTGAACCTAGGTTTCATGCTTGTCGGCACTCATCATTCGGAAAGGTGTACTGAAGAAACTGATTTCACTCTTGAGATTTGAACCCATGTCACCCAGCCTCCTAATCAGAGACGTTACCGCTGAACTATTTAGGATGACGATTGACTTCCTGTGGAACAGTATTACATGCTTTGTTTGAATACTCGTTGATAACTAGCGTAATATGTCTAGTCCTTTGCTTGGCTCAGACTGAATTCCGCCATACAAGCTTGAAATATGAACTTGACCAATAGAAGTTTGTCTTCTTTGGGGCCAGTTAGGTAAACAAGCCTTCATTCCCACTGTTTGATCGTATTCTTACTTAGGCTTGAATCCAATAATCTTGGAGAGTATATATATATATATATATATAGATGTATACCACTTGGATGAATGCTATCTTAAGCACATAGGTTATTTGTCTGCTAAAAATATTAGCTTTCTCTTGCTTCCTGACTGATTCCTGACTGCCATTCAGTTTTTTGTCAGTCTGCTAAATAAATCAATTCTGAGAGAACTGCATTGTATTGTAGATTCTCTGTTACGTGAATAATTGTACAACTTTAAAAAAATGTCATACAAGTTTGCATATACGTCTATAATTTATAAATTGTAACTGGATGTCCAATAACCGGAGAGTAGTTCATTCTCCTGAGTGTGTATATGCTCATTCCTCCATCTAACTGAAGAAAATCATCTCTTACAAGATTAGTAAGAGGAGATAAAATTACTTTGGAACTGGTGCTTAAGTTCATTCAGCCGGATAGTTTTATATAAAGTCCTATTAGAGAACGCAGGAGCAGTACATACGTTGATCTACATCGCCTTAAGTATTCTCCTGAGAGATTATCTAGACTTTTAGTCTTTTGAGTCAATCCTACCAAAAGTTTCAGGTTTAACAACGGATGGAGAAACAGTTAGGGAAACATTTAAATCCTGCAAGAGGATAGTGGATAGTGGTTTCGTCCTGGAGTGAAACTCATCGACACTCGCCACCCACGGCATTTCGAACCCAGGACTTATCTGTTACAAGGTGAGTTCTTAAACCATTTAGCCACTGGGATGCACTCAATGGTCTACGAAACTGTTTCCGTGTGATGAATGTTGCCAATGTAACAAATGCTCCAACTTTGGGATTCTGGCTTCAGTATCTGTCAGGTATATTTCTCCGGATTGCAAGTATTAAATTTTTAGAGAAAATGTAGACGTGCACTTTTCAAAATATGCTCAGCGTAATAATAATAATGAGACTTCATGTTTAATGAGCTGCTATTTCCTTACTCAACAAGTTGATGTAATTTAATTTATTTCTCTAATCCTTTTTTACCTTCGCTTATCTAAAAACAAGAATGATCGAACAGAACACTTAGAAAAGTTGATCCTATATCTGGCTAATGAATTGATCAGGATTATAAAACTGGCCTATCAGCTATGCATTGATTCGTCTGCTACTACTACAATGGCGACGACCACAACTACAACAACAACAACAAAAACAACAGAACGAGATACAAATCGGCCAACTAAAAAATACACTTCACCAGATGGCAAGTTAACTTCTGAAAGTTATTTATATATTACTTAATTCACTTTTTTTCTATTTTTTGTGGGTTTTGTAAGGACTTAGTGTCGCTGGTATAGCGGTTAGGACGCTAGCCGACCATGCACATGGTCCGGGGTTCGATCCCCGGCCGACAAGGCACTCCTTTACCTCACTAAGCCAGAAATAGTGCTGGTAAGGAGGAAAGGTTGGGCATGACGCTGGCTAGCAACCCCATCCTATAAAAATAAACACTGCTACAGAAACTTCAAGCCACTGGCTTGAAGCCCTATGTTCCACAGGGGAACGTGAAGGAAAAATTATTAATTAAATTATTATTTGTATGGACTTAGGAATAAACAGTTCGGCGGAGTGTCGCTTTTTGGTGAATTCATTCACTCAACTGTACAATCACCATTATATATAATTATTTCTGTGTGTATGTGTGTGGGTGAGTGTGTGTGTGTATACATTGTTTATTTCATCAAAATATTTCGAAAACTTTGATGAATAATCTAAATTGTAAGTAGGTAGTAGGTGGGGTTGGAAGTAAATGTATCAGTAAGTTTAGCCTAAGTTTGTGTAATATAAAGAACTTTCAAAAAATAACAGCATGAATGCTATTTATGGGGATTTTTTATTTGATTGGTTAGAGGATTTCATAATGAGCTAGCATCGGTTGGAGAACCACTGGAAAAACACCACAAAGTACACAGCTGCTGTTTCCTCAGCCTAGTTTGGGTTTCTTCATCAGTAGGCACCCGCTAAGGCACTAACCTAGCACCTTCTGGTTACATAGCGAGCCTTCAGACTATTAAGTTATTGGGACCATGACCCAATGCATATGAATTCTATCGAAGTGGTCGCGCTATGTCATGAATGGGTAGAAGGTGGAATTCATGGACTGGCCATTGGATCCTGTCCCAGTGTGCATATTTCTCAATTATGATTAAAGCGAGAACAACAGCGGTTTGTGTAGAGTAACATGGTACCATCATTAATTTCGTTGGCTTCTCATCAGCTTCTTACAGCCTAAATAAATTTTGAGGTTTAAGTGTAGATACGTTTTAACATACTTTTAAATTTTACATGTTGTCAGTTGACAGAAAGTTCCACAATTGGTAAACAGTGCTCAGAGAATTGCGCTTATATAGTTTTTACACAGGCAGTTCAAGTTAAAATAAATGCTTCTTTCTGAACACATAAATCTGGTTTCAAGCGTTTGATAGTAATTGTTTCAGCAAACTTGAGGAGAATAGAGCTCCTTTGTCTATTGATAATTTTGAAGGATTTCTCGATTTCCACCTCATGACCCGTGTCGAGGAGATGTCTGGTAATAGCGCTGCTATAAGAGTTTGTTCCTTTGAGACGTAGGCTTTTCGGCACATGTTCAGAAAATCGGAGGTGTGCCCTTCTTTCTGTTCTCCCAATGTAACTGCTCCCGCAGATACACGTAAATTTGTATACACAGTTGGAGTTAACATGAGAAGGGTATCTATCGACTTTTGACTGCACCAAAGAGCATGTTGTTCGGTGGACGGGAACCAACTTAGCTGCAGGATAGGCTCTGGCTAGTGACGTCCTCAGTCTTCTGTTGACCATTTCTGCAATGTCTTCACCTTTAAAGTCTAGTTGAATGAAGACAGGCTTTTTTTAACTGTGATTTGTTTGGTATTTGGGCCTTCACATCTTCCATATTTGTTAATGAATTTTTGAGTATAGCCGTTGTTTTTCAGCACCTTTTCGAGATTCGTGAATTCTTCCTCTAGTTTCTCTGCAGAGCATATTCTCCTCGCTCTATAGTACAGAGTCTTGACTAGTGCTCGTTTATAGCTATTTGGACAAAAACTATTAAAATGTAAGTATTGTCCATTCCATGTGGGCTTTCGGTAGATTGACCTCTGGAGGCTACCATCTTCTAGGCGTTTTATGGCGACGTCAAGGAAATGGAACTGTCCATCATTTTCATGTTCCATAGTAAATACAATATTTGTATGTGCGTTGTTGAATAGTCTGAGTAGGTAGGAGGCATGACTTTCGTTGTTGCATACTACAAATGTGTCATCGACATATCGACAATAGGAAGTTGTTTGATCAATTGCATGCTTCAGCTTTGTTTTCTCAAGGTTTGACATAAAGATATCTGCTAAAACAGGGCTAAGTGGACTGCCCATAGCTACACCATCTATTTGTCGGTAAAGAGTGTTGTCAAACTGGAATTGTACACCCATGGTACACATTAGCAGTAGGCGTTTGAATTCCGGCTCTGGTAGTGGGAGAAGATCAGACTGTTGACAAATGATCTCAATGGTTTCATTGATTGGGATCATTGTGAACAAGGAGGTTGCATCAAATGAAGCCATGAACTTATTTGAAACGTTCATGTGATTCACGCTTTCAGCAAAATGAAATGAGTCCTTTATGGTGTGCGCGGCCAGCCTTTGGCGAATGGGTTCCAACTTCTCCGCGAGCCAACGGGCAACCTTATGTTGGGGAGAGTTGATCATCGAAAGTATAGGTCTCAGAGGGACTTCTTTCTTGTGTGTCTTTGGAAGGCCATACATATATGGCAAGCGGGACCCTCGGGGTTTCAATTCATTGTACGTGTTGTTGTCAATCAAATTCTTCTTTAGAAGATCTCTCAATACGTTTGTGATGCGTTTTTCGGTTGCATCTGTCTTGTCTTTCTGGCAGTCGTCGACTTTGAACCTCAACGGATCATTCAGCACAGTTTTCATCCTTGCGATGTAGTCATCTTTATCCATCAGTACCACTCCTGAGCCTTTGTCAGGTCGCAGTATGACAATTTTGTCATTATTTCTGAGAGCTTTCAATGCTTTTTGATGCTATTCAGAGAGGACTTTTGAATATGACGTTGGTGAGATGAGGTATTGATTTGCAACGTCGACCAGCTTAGATTTGAACCAGCTCTTCTTGTCCTCATCAACTGGAGTAAGATCATTCAGCAGATAGAATAGGTTTTCGAATTGAGCTAAGACATCGGTTCTATTGAAAAAGTTATTCGGGATGTTGAAGTTATATCCGAGGGAAAGCACTTCCATCTCAATGCGGCTTAAATTCAGACTCGACAGATTACACACAAACTCCTCAGGATTTTCTGGGAAGACTTCTTATTTTTTTCCCTTCGTCAGGGATTCCGTCAGGGTCTTATAAAATTTTGCACATGTTTTCTGTTGAAATTCATGAATTTCGTTCAAGAGCTTCAACAGAAAACATGTCTGTAGACGAAGTTATAAATTCATGAATTCTGTGTTAATTCTCTTAATTTATCTGATATCCGGTCAAGTTAGTGTTATATTAGTGCATATAATCTCTGTCTTACTAATACGCTTGCAATGTGATCTTTCTTTGATTGAACACTGGTCAGTGATTAGTGTAATGTGTCTAGTCCTTTGTATAGTGTAGACTGAATTCTTTCAGTCAAGTTTGTAATGTGGCCTCCACTTTAAGTGGCTCACCATCACTGTGTAGTTTGAATGATTGAAGTTAACTGCCAGGAAGCCTTAAACAGGAGGGACATGAGCTCCTTCAAGGTTGCAGATGCGCCTTGCTGACGAGTGACAACTAGGACGAAACCTAGTTTTAAGGCTTCCTGATGATTGCCTCAAACCATCTAATATCAACAATATATAAACAATATATAAAATATAGAGTTCGGGGTTCGAGTCTCAGTGGAAACGGCATCACTCACTAAAGATCGCAGGTATATCCTGATGATGAGTCCAGAAATAAGACGAATTGTTTAACTTAGTGGATTCCACGTTTAGACACCATCAACCAAAATAATGTACACTGGAAATTGTTGGAGAAAACAGGAAGGGTAGAAACGATTGCTTCATAGTAATAAATCATAAGGGCAAATCCAAAGACATCTGACATTTCTGCAATAAAATACTGGCTGCTAGATTATACAAACGTGAATCGTGATTTCTTTTCAAACGTGTAGCATAGATAAATTTATAATCGTTGTTAGAGAGATTTACAAGGATTTAACTGATTTCTAAACATTCACTTTAGTCTCTTTACAATAATAATCCACAATATATGTGGCACTTCTATGATACAGGTTGCGTCGATACTGCCTGGCATCCATGCATGCAGCACGGATTCTATTCCCAATGGGCGCACTCCTAAATATTCGTCTAGTTTACAAGATAATGTAAGTGTGGAAGTAGAGCACTGTGGTAGAATGTATGTACATATTAGATAAAATCACACAGTGATAAAGTATTAATAACTGGATGGCGTTTTGAGGATAAATTATTGCTCATAATCATATCATTTTAGTCACATGGCTTCACAATTTTTGTTTATCCTCGGATATCCTCTGATGCATTTCTTCTTTATACGTTCGTGTTGTGGCGGGTGCTATTCGTAAGACTTATAAGTTGTCTATAAAGAGCCGTTCATCGACATAAAAGCATCAAATAACAATGACGTAGATTTGATATCAGAGAAGATGAATGATTGGGCGTTGTGGAGATACATGGGAGACGTGGAAAGAACACAAAGAAACACAATATGAAAGAAGGGCAGAAGTAGCAGGCACAACACGGAGAAGGATCTGTGCAAATAGTGTTTTGAAGATAAGGTGGACATAATTTGGCTATTATATAGAGATACCGATGTGCAGGTAAACATGCCTTTGCCATGTCTTCGTCTTCTATCGTTCCAGTTGGTATCGCTGACAGAATTCGAACGTGGGTTAGTTCGACCATAAAGCAATGTCTTAACCACTAGATTAAAGCAACCGTTTCAGTGTGACTAAACTGATACGTTTGTGAGTAGCAATAATTTGTGCTCGAAACATCATCCATTAACAAATACTGAGTTATCACCGTGGGACATTTATCTATTATGTGAATCAATCACTCGGTGATTTTCTCTTTTGACAAGTGCATTTTTATTCTTGTGATGTATCGATTAAAAAATTTATATATTCTTTTACACACTTTTATAGGCAACTCATCACTTGTTATAAGTGAGGATAGTTTAAAAACAGCTAAATTGAAGGCAGCTGAAATTTTATGCTTATCACTGGATGATTTAGAGAAGTTAACTTTACTGGAGAATGATGCTATGGGCGTTGATAACCACAATGGAAACAATGACTATGCCGCTGTTGAAAGTGATGATGTTGACTGTGTCTATTCATCATCAGGCATACCATATGATAATGATACAGTCACAAGAGAAAAAAAGGAATTCTCAATAAAATCAATAGATTCGCTGTTGCACAAATTATCGCAGTGGCCTGTTCAATGTGAAAAATTATTGAAAGATGTAAGTTGAGGAAGCGTGCTTTATTTCTGTCCTATTTTAAAAAAATATTATTATTATTATTGTTTCCCTTAGTTCCTTGAGGAACATAGGGCTTCAGCCGTACGTCTCCATTGCATTCGCATCACCTCCCGCATGTCATCCTCAGAATGACGACCAACTCGCTGCTTCCCATTCGGGTTCCACTCGAGCAATTGCGTGACGTGTGATTTCACTTGATGGTTTGTTTTCGCAGAGTATGGCCAATCTATATCCATTTCTTCCTGCATATTTGTTGCACAATTTGTTACTCCTGGGTTGGTTCGCTCACTGCCAGAGATCCCTGTTGCTGGTCTTTTCTGGCCGGCCATCTGATCTTGGGTGGCATTGAGTGAAGACAGTTGTTTTCGTTTATTTACTTTTATGATTACAGCTTGATTCCACACCGTATTTTTTGAATTTTCAGCATGTGATATCGGTACCCCAAATTTTGCAGGCCGAGCATAGATATCAGGTGTGCGTAGGCAGAGGATCGAACTCCGAACCGTATGCATGATCGGCGATAGTCCTAACCACTGTGCCACCAACGCACAGCTGTGAATGAAGGTCTGTAGTTTGTTTGAGGTGGCCTTCGTGATGTGGAGCCAAATCTTTGATCCGTATAGTGAGTGACACAGACTTCACATTGCAGTTGATTCATTTCTATCCTGTTAAAAAATATTATTACATTACTATTGCTGTTCCCTTGGGTTCGGTGTGGAAAATAGTACTTCAACGGTACTACGTTCTATTTTCTGTGGTCCTCTCGAGCTGGCCGCGTGAGTGCCGTTAAGCCGGTATTTTCCTCCTCACACCACCTCCTCTATGTTACCCTCGGCCTCCGCTACCATAGTCTCCCATTCGGCTTGCAATGGAACGATGGTCTGACACGTGATGTATTTTCGACAGTCTCGTCATCGGTTGTCCGATCCGTTGCCATTTACTTCCACATATTTGTTCACTAATAGGTTTTCGATTAATTCATCCACAGAATGTCTTGTTCCATATTCTTTCTGGCTAGCCATCCGATCTTCAGTGTAGAGCCGGGGAAGGCAGCTGTTGATGACAGTGTTTATTAGTCTGTTAGAAATGCTTTCCACCAAGTTTTCGAACCACTCGGAAGTGACTGACTTAATATTGGTGTTGGTAATCCGAATGTCCTTCATTTTGCATCCTGATTCCAAATTGATTTTAGAGTGGTGAAGGTTTCTTTTGGTTTTTGTGATTCTAGTTTTTACATCTTCATCGATGTATTAGGCTGTAGTTGAGACAGTACTTTCTAGATAGGTGAAGTAAGGGACCTCTTTCAAATTCATTCCGTTGATAATGATTATTTCTTGTTGATTAGCTAGATATCTTTATTCTCTCTATCTTCTCTATGTTCACTTAAAAACCTGCCTTCTCAGGCCACTTCTTCTACTAACTCGTTTATTTTTATCTGTAGGTCTTCGCGTTTGTGTGACACAGGACATAAGTAGTCGGCGAAGTCTAGGTCTTCCAGAATCTTCTAATCGGTCCAACGTATTCCTCTCTCCTCGCTGCCCTTCGTGTTCTGTAACGTTCAACCCACCACAATTAGGGATTTCATCGTGAGTGATATTAGGCAGCCTTGTCTTATTCTTGTTTCTACTCTGAAAGCTTTTTTGAGTTTCCCGTTGTGGATTACCCGACATATGGCAAACATAATGCTGTATCATACATGTGAGTGATTACGGTTTGTAGTTGAATCTGAAACGTACTCTCCAGTCTCGTTGGAATTCATCAGATAGCATGCTTGGATGCAAGTAAATGATTGTAACCCTGTAATGACCAAATATGACTCATTGTAGTCTGCACTCAGGGGAATGGATCTTTGCGACCTTCATTATAGCCAACAGAAATTCCTTCAGACATGTACAGTCACAAAATGCCCCAAAAGCAGCGAAATGATAGGTAGATATATGGTCCTGTTAAATAAATTAACTCAGAATTACCTCAACAATGCCGTCAGGCAGATATAAAGACAAGTTAAATTTCGAAATGTAAAACATGTATTGGTTAGTTAACCGAAATTCAACTGTAAGAGGTACCTGATGATCAAGCAGAATATTCCCACAACTGTGAGAGCAAAACTTTGTCTACAGAAGTCACACATCGACAGTTCCTGCTGAGAATCCTAAGTCCGAATGACCTTGGCCTACTGAAACGAAATCGCACTGTCAAACAACACATTATCACTGTATCGACCGTTACAAATCCACCCACTGAAACATGAACCATATGTCTCTTGTTTTAAAGGCTAAATTCCATGACTAGCATGTTCAAGCACTGGAGCTTCCATTCGTCGCGAAAAATACAGATACAATTGAAGATGTATTGGATATACACCATGAAGACGGGTCAGTGACATGGCACGCCTGGCTGACCATTGAGTGGAACCTGAAGAGGGAAAGAAAGAGCTCGGCGTTGGTTCGTTAGTGAGATGGAGGGGATCATGTAAGGCAGAGATGAAAGTAGTTGATATTATGAAAACCTATAAATGAAATGACACGGGATTTAGATGTACAACAGAGGATGTATCTAGATGCTTCTAGACAGCGAAGACAGCTGTTGATGAAAGTCTGCAGTCTGTTAGATAACGTGTTTGCCAAGTCTTTGAACCATACAGAAGCGTCGACCTGACAATAATGTTAGGAATCGAGGTCTGGTTTCTTAAGCCGAATGCAGTAGATTTCAACATTCATTTCAAAGTAATGATGGTCTCGGGTTTAATCACCCGCTGACACCAGTTAGACAAGTAATGGTAAACCGAGGAAGTACTGGGCAAACACTTCGTCCCAGTTTGCGGTCCTTCATCAGTACTCACACACTGAGGTTCTAACCTATGACTTTGCGGGAGCAAGGTGAGCTCATAGACCACTGGGACTCGACCCATTGGCGCATGAATTCCAATTTCTGCAAGTTCGAGATACATATTGCTCAATTGTCAACCAGTGTTATAAGCGAGTAGTTTTTCTTTTACCTGACTTCGTTGGCTTCAGGGCTTTCAGTGGTCCTGCCGATGGTGTCAATTGTTGAAACAAAAAACCTGTCACCAGTAAAATCCCTGCAAGCTAACACGTGACAGTGATGGTCTACCCTGTTTTTATGGTCGTGACTTTGACAGACTTATTTATGCTGCCTGTAGTTAGAACGATGCTAGGCCTGGTTTCCTCTACATATAATAAGCATCAACCTTGAATAATCCAAAAAAATTTTCCTAAACATATATACATTTAATTATTGAATTGAATTCTTGATTTTCCCGTCCATTGATTGGACCGAAGTGTTCGGTCTCAGGTTGACATGTCGGCTTCTTGTGCAGATGCTTCGACGATGTCTGGGGATTTGATTTGTATACAATTGGTGGATGGTGGCTAGCAGTGGAATCCAGGATGCGCATTTCGTCCTATTTGGGACTCGTCAGCTGGATGTACCTGCATTTCTCAGTGAGTGATGATGTTCCCACCAAGACTTGATTCCACTGCTAGCCACCATCCACCAATTGTATACAAATATATACATTTCATTAATATTTTTGTTTAAAATGTTTTTCTGCTTTCATAAAGTTCCCATTTTCCCAGAAATTAAAAGAAGAATTTTCAAAACGATTTGAAGATTTACTCGAAATATTAACTTTTATGCTTAGCAAGAAAGACAACTGTTACTGAATTTATCTCGGTGAAGTCGAACTTGCTGAATCTTCCTGTGATTCCGAAAGGACTTCTTTTTCATGCATAGTTTGATTAAATGATGAATTGTTTTCTGTGACATTCTTAAACTTAAATGATTAGGGAACATTTTTATGTATAATTTTGTGCTACTCTTGAGTAGCTTACCGATGATTTGTTAATTTCTTTTCTCACTGGATGTGAATGTCATTTGATAGCCATTGTACAGTGAAAATTGGTAAATCCTGATATTGCATTTTCTTTATTAAATCATTTTGATTCTAAAATTTTCCTCGAATGAGTTCAATCAACTACTTTAGTTTTTGGTTATGTTGAAACTGAACCAGTTTTCTGTTTGATGCCCAAAAATACTTTTTCCATTCGTTTGTATCAGCGTCAAAAGAAAACATTTCTACATGTACTGGTTGTTATTATTATTTCCTATAATCCCAGTTGAAACACACACGCTCAGCCACAATGCATATTGACTTTCACTTCCTCTCTGCTTAACTCCCTCCATGTAAACCTCGAACTCACGCCTAACTAGTTGCTTTTTATTAGAGTTCAACATTTCAGGGTCTATGACACTGTGCCGTCCAAAGGTTTTCTCATTGTGTGTCCAAACTATCTCTATTCCTTTGAAACATAAGTTGGGTGATAGATTCTTGACTTGTTTGTTTTCGGAATACCTGGTCGTGAATCCTTGGTGGCCATCTGATTTTCAGAATGGAGCGCATAAAGACAACTGTTGATAAGAGTTTGAAGTAGCCTACTCGAAATGTTTTGTGATAAACTCCCAAAGTCGCTGAAACATATAGAAGCACTAATTTTAAATTAGCATTAAAATCTTTCTGATTACACTGAGTTCAACGGATTTCTTTACTGTGAATGTCCTTCAAAAGGTAAAACAGCAAAGTTAGGCCTAACGCTATCCGCGTTGTTGTGCCAATAGACAGCGAAAAGCACGTTAGCAGGGGTGATCACACAAGTGCTGCGTGTTAGTAAGAACGAGGGCTCAAGGTCAAGGATTATATTTATCGCCATTCATATTACAATCGAATGAGAAGGGAACGGTCTTCCTATTGGTTGTCCGTCGCGTCATCTTGTGGTATCAATCCAATCATGGCACACAGTCAGTCTTAACTCAAACAAGCATACAGTTTAAGCATAAGAAAATCGCCTAACTTACCAAGATTTACAGTGCGAATGCCAGCCACAGAATAAAAGAGATTCGAATAATGGTAAGTAGCATAAGGTCGAGTAGTAAAATGAACAGATAAGAAAAGAATTATAACGATCTTTATCTGAAAAATATATCAGTCAGCAGCTGCAATCTACGGTGAATTGGATTTCATATAAATATGTAAAAATTAGGGAAGTTCCTTTAACTCCTATGACATTAGTGTCAATACATAGGGGTCAATTTGCAGATACTTGACAGCTTTCCAGTGATGATCGAAGCGATATGGAGAAATGAACTTCTTATCAGCCTAAATATTTAGTTTTTATTGGAAAGTCTAAGATGTAAGTGGCAGACAGATAAATAATGAATTATCCCTTATTGGTGGTTATTGTGGTCAAGGTCATCCTGAGAATAAACCAATCAGAATTGGCCTGCATCAAATAACGCCCACTATATTATTGATCAAGATTATAGACTAAATGACATATCCTTGGTGAATTTTTCAGTCAGACACTATTATGTAATATGTAGTGTAACTGATATAGAAATGTACTTTTCGGCTCAAGTCACTGCACATTCTCGTCTAAGTAGTGCAGACTGAGGAATAAGTAATAGTCATATAACGTCCCTGGCGTAGTCATGAGGGAATTCGTCATCGGCGCATATATATCCCTGCAAACCACCTCTTAAAAATTAGACATTTGTTTCCCTTGATGAATTTGAGCAAAACATGAACATTGTGCAGAATAAGATGAGGCCATCATTTATTTCGTTGGCTTCTCATCAGCTGTATAGACACCTAAGAAACTATTAAGCTTATATACAGAACAATTTTAACATACTGGGGAATGTGACAGAATATCAATTGATAGAAGGCTACAAACTTCATAAACAGTGCTCAGAAATTAGCTTATACCCAAATAGTCCAAAGTTAAGCAAAAATAAATGTTTTGATAACTTGGCAAAAAAGTTACGTAATAAGGATTTTCTGAACGATGTACCCAAAAAGCCTACTCCTGAAGGAGACAAACATTTAAAGTGGAGCCATTGCCAAACATCATGAAATCATTTGGAACTATCATTAAACAAAACAGCTTAATTCTATTTAAGTTCGTCGAAGCAATCGCTATCAAATGCTTGAAACCTGATTTATGTATTCAGAAAGAAACAGTTATCCGTATTTCTAAGCTCAGGTAACTGGGCGTCTTTACTCACCTGCCTATTTGATCACGTAATCTTTGACCTTAACCTCTCCTCCACTTAATAAATTGTAACTTTGCTTGTCTTCTATTTCAATCATTTGACTAGAACTCAGTACACTGCTGCTCAATTTATTAGCTACTCGTCGTCTTATTCACCTTTTGGCCCCATTACATAACGCTTTTCCGGTGTATACGAGAATTTGCTTTCGTATGAATTTGAATTGTCTGGGTGTAAACTGCACAAGTGTAATTCTCTGAGCACCGGCTTATAAACCTCTGAGTACTGGATGGCTGCTTCGTCCTATTTTGAGACTCTTCATCGGAACGCACCCAACGAGGTTCAAAACCAGGACCTTCTGGTTACAAGGCAAGCTTGTAGACCATTAAGCCACTTGGATCCGATCCAATGAATTCTAACTTCTGCTAATTCATAAGCCATTGGATTGAATCCCAGTGGCTTAATGGTTGACGATCTCCCCTTGTAACCAGAAGGTCCTGGTTTTGAACCTCAGTGGGTGCACACTTCTGAAGAATTCCAAACTAGGACGGGGGGAACCGCTTTCCAGTACTCCCTGCTGATTTTCCTATGATCCCTTGACCGATGTCAGCTCATGATGGAATCCTGTTACCAATCAAATCCTTACGAACCAACACTTGAATATCGATGAGATGCACACTAGCGACTTGCCCTATTCAGGTAGTTAGTTACCTGGGGTTCTAGTGAGAGAAGTCGTGACCAGTAGCAAGTCGGATGTGAGGACAAATACTCGTCGAAGACATTGGCTAGTGGTCTTGATATGTCGTGAATTGGCAGAAGTTAGAATTCATCGGCCATTGGATTGGGTCCCTGTGGCTTAATGGTATACGAGCTCGCCTTTTAACCCGGGTTTCCTAAGTTCAAACTCTGGTGTGTCTGTGTGCTGGGGAGAGTCCTAAAGTAGGATGTCGTAACAGCTGTCTGTCCAGCAATCCCAGGTTTTCCAATGGTTCTCCAACTATTGTCAGCTCATGATGCAATCCTGTAACCAATCCAATCCGCGGAAACCAACACTTGAGAACTGTTTAGAAAGTTCGGACCCTCCTGTGGACGACATTATGTAACATTCACAAGTATGTATGTGTTGTATATAAACTGAATTATTCCTTAATACTGTATTCAGCTGATGTGAAGCCAAGAAATAAACAATGTAGGTACTAGAAGTTAACTGGTGGATGTTGACTTGCAGTGGAAACCAGGATGTGCATTCCTTCGTATTTTAAACTCTACAACTGGATCTACCTACATTCTATAGTGAGTGATGATGTTACTCTCGATTCTCTCATGGCCTGAATGGCCTAGCGGGCAGCGCTTTGGCGTTTGAAACTATGGACACTGGGTTCGGACATCAGTGGGGACATCATCACTCACTGCGAAATGCAGGTACATCCAGACGACGCATCCCAAATAGGACGAAAAGGCGAATCCTTGATTCCACTGTTAGTTACCATCCAGCAATCGACTTCTGAATACGAGCCTAGAAATTGTCGAAGCATCCGCACAAGAAGTCAACATGTCAACTTGAAACCTAGTTACTTCGGTCCAATCAATCGATGGGAAGACCAGCATTTGAAATAAATGTTGGTACTACCTGATTCTGCATAACCTGTTATTTTTGCATTATTGAAACTTGAGAACTAATCTAGTGCTTTCTTGAGACTGACTACAGGATAAGTTGCCTGGAGTACTAGTGAGAAGTTCTGACTAGTGGCGTCCACTAAGCTGAGCACAGGAACAAATACCATTTGCACAAAATCCTCCTCCGTGTTGTGCCTGCTACTTCTGCTCTTCCTTCATATTGTGCGTGTGTTTCTTTGTGTTCCTTTCACGTAATCTCCCGTGTGACTTCACAACGCTCTATCATTTGCCTTCTCTGACATCACATGTATCTGCTTGATATTTGATGTTCTTATGCCGATGAACGTCTCTTTATATACTACTGATAATTCTTACCAGTAGCACTTGCACAGTAGCATACATCAAAAAATGATAGAAATTCACTAGCCCTTAAATTCCTCTATCCCACCGTCTCATTGGTCAATAGCCTCACCTCGTAACCTTAGGGTCCCAGTGGGGTGCCATTGTGAGTACTTCTGAATAGTCTCTACATGGCACGAGATATCAATACAAAAGTCTCCTGTTTTTGAATAGTTTTCTAACTGATTTCAACTCTCTACCTCACTCGAAATCAATCGAATCTTTCCAAAAAACGACAGCTGTATAAAAAAAAGACACCTCTCTCATGATTAGTCCATGACATTTGCTGTCCTAAAGCCAACAGTTCACGATATTATTAATAATAATAACAATATGAAGAACGAAAATGCCTCACATTCTAAATTATTCTGTGAAATGATTATTTACTTAACCCATGTATACTCAGAAAAACTCTGTTGTCAAATTTATAGTTCTGTCAAACTTCATAGCATTATTATTATGATAAATTGACGGTAAACATGAGAATATATTTATTTGTTTATCTATTATCTCCTGAAATCATCTTTTGTTTTTCTTTAGCTTTGCCTCTATCGAAAGGAACTATTCCCCTCTCCCTAAGCCTTCACTCCTCCTAGGCCTTTCCCCACACCGGTATTTTTCTCTCCCTCTCGCTCTTTCTCCCTTTATAATCAGAGTCAACGTGCAGCATAATAACGGAGAAGTCTTCACTAATAGGATTGATTGTGTATTGTTTATTCTGACATATGATTGATTGTATAAATAATTGACAACTGTTCGGATATTGTTTTCTTAAGAATGAACATTATTGATAAATCTATATTTGATTATGTTATCCTCCAATTAGTACTTTATTCAATTGGATAAGTAATTTCTACATATAAATATATATATTTCTACATATATATATATATATATATATATATATATCCATAAACACTGAACTTCTTTTACCAGAAGCTTGTTTAAATGTAATAAAATTAGAAATTTTAATGGCGGTTTGTTTAAATTATTGCGCTACGTAATTTTCTATAGAAT